GAGGCTAAAAATGAAAAGGACGGTCTACGCGAAACAAAAGGGCGCCGAATGAAAGCCACCGCGAAAGAGAGAAAGAGAAAGAGATATGGAATTGCTACTGCGGTAATTAGAAGTTTGATTGATTGATCGCATTAAGGTTATTTATGAACACTAGGATGCGGGTTTATCTTTGCAGAGCTACTGGCCGCAGAAAAATATAGATAATTCTTTTCTCTGATGTGCGCGAGGGGAATTGTGAGGAATAAATATTATTTAATTAAGGAATAAATTTATTTAATTAGCGGAAAAATTGAGAACTGCAACTAATCGCACATTACAACGAACATTGACTCACTATTCCATTTTAGAGGAAACGATGTGAATTAAGAAAGGAAAAACCTTCTGAAAGTATTTAATTCTTATATTATAATTGCTTTCTGCTGCGGAAGCTAAATGGACGTACTGTGCACAGCCTATCTTTTGTATGCCTCACGAAGAGGACACAAAAGTCTGCTCGTAAGTCATCAGATAACTTAGACGATTGTCAGCCGCTTCACGCTCCATCGATCAACGAAATATCGGTTCGACAGAAAACCATAAACTATAAATTTTAGAAAGGATGTATAAGGATCAACGAAATGAAACCTTGCAAAGTGTTAACGACGTGAGACAATAAAGACAGGAAGCGTACAAAAGTCCGAATAACCGGCAGAGAAGAGGGGAACGATGAGCACGAAAAATCACGAACCGCGCACACGCAATTTTCGCATGAGCGCACTCATTATCCTTATGGAGGGTTCTTTCTGTGGTCGTCTGTGTCTCTTCGTCGTCCGTTCGATTCTCGGCATTTATTGTTATCATCTTTGGGATAAAAATTAAATCGAGTATAAATGATAAATTTCGATGCTATCGGGACAAAAGACGGTCTTCGAGTACTTTGCCATTAAAGTGCCTCTCGCGCGGATAACGAGAGCTAAGCGGTCTGCACACACGCGCAAAACACTCTCGCTTTCCCCGAGAGCATGATCGAGTCGTTTTGCTAATTTAGTTTTCCGATCGTCGATGAGTTCACTGTCTTCTTTTCTTTTATTCTTCTATACCATGAGGATTTTAACGGGCGCGACTCTTCCGAGTAATTTTAGATTTAATAGTTTTCGATCGACGCACCCTTCCCTGCGGGGTTGTTACTTTCGCTTCTTTTATATCGATTTTCTGGGAAAGTTAATTGTTATTTAACGCGCTAAATTTATCGCTTTAAACCCCCTACAAGATTACTTGTACATTTTATTTTTATGGTTTTTCCATTCGCAGCATTGACTTTTATTTGTGCAATTTAGTTGCCGGTGCATTTGCTCGTCAATAAAATTCGATTAATGAAAATGAAAAAGTAGCGATTTTAAAAGGCGCCATTCTCAATTACTTACAATTCCGTAAGCACACATTCGTAGAAAAAACATCTGTAACATCTGCAGAGCTTTCCCGCGGATAGCGGGCAAATAAAGCGCAACCCTCAAAAGAATATTCTAATCTGCGAATAAGAGACTGTCGAGTAAACGACGCCTTTCCTTTTTCATGAAAGTTGGTCGAACTTTGGGAAAATTTGCGGGAAGGTGAAAAATGCTGTTTGCCAAACGTAAAAACAAAAATGAAGAGCGACAAGCGCTCTGCAGGAATACGCATTCCAGCACAGCAAGCAAGCAGAGTGAGTTAGAAGAAGTCACGCGAAGCGAAAGACATTTGTCAACCGCACAATCGTCGGGATTAAAAATTAAGCACGAAACACTCCGTCCTCGTCAGCGCTAGTCTAATTCCATAAGCGAGAGAAGAGAGAAAAACGAGAAAAGAAATCCGGTGACTCAGCTTGGCGCGCGCGCATCTTATAATTAAACGCCCGCGCGCGAGAAAAAAGAAAAAAAGAAAAAAAGAAAAAAAGAAAAAAAGAAGAGATTCCGTATTTCTCGCCGCGTCGGCGGCGCGATAAGCAACAACGCCGCCGCTGGCTGCTCAAAGCAGAAAGGAATAAAAGGAATAAAAACAAAACTCGAGAGACAAGAGATGAGACAGGGATGAATGCATATGGAACGCCTCTAGCGCGAAATTCATCAAGTGGGGGCTCGCTCGAGGGGGAGGACGGCACTGTTAATTTGCGGAAATGAGACGGGTTTAAGTGCGTGTTTTTGACGGCAAATATGATTTTTTTCTTTCGCTGCCTGCCGCTGCTGCCTCTGTTCCAAAGTCACGCGCAACTACCTCGTATTATTTCTCATAGGGGTATTCACATTAGCAATCAAGTTTTCATTGCCAGGCGCTCAAACTTGTAATAATTAGCGACTCGGGCGCAATGTAATTTAATCTCGCCAGAGAGAAAGAGCGTCTTGGCTCGGTTTCTTTGCAAAGAGAGCGGCATTCGCAATGACGTGTCCACTTGAATGATTTAACGAACAGACGGCGCTCGGACTCTTCCGCCGTTATTATTTATTTCTTGTTTGGGTGGAATGGACAACTTTAGTACTTGTGAAAAATTCAAGATAAGTCGTAATACTTATCTAACTTTTAATAACTTGCCCGCGGAAAGCGCGCTGCTACCTTTAATACATAGTTTTTGCCCGAGCTCTCGCTATATGACACACCCATTAACTTAATTATTAACCCTTAAAAACACGAGCCATTGAAAAAACTACAGAAAAAAGCTAAAGCTCGAAAGAGGGTGTTAAAAAGTCCGCATCTAATCGCGCTGAAAAGAACGCGCGCGTTGGAGATCGAGAGAGAGAGAGAGAGAGAGAAAAAGAGAGGGATAAGCTTCGCAAGCAGCCGCATCGCCTTCATTACCCACAGTGCACAAGCTCCTTATTCGCGGCTTACCCGTTAATGTTTTTTCCTCTTCCTAAAAGGCGACACATAATCGTCGCGGACAGCCGGGCCTAAACGAGAAGCATTTATACAGTTCTGTGTGAGTGTGGAAGGGTGTGTGTGTGTGCGCGCGTCTGTATAACGTAATCGGCGAAAGTCGCCGGATTAACACCCTCCCCCTTTCTCTCAACCCACTACTTTGAGCATCCTTCTACTTTTATTTGCCCTTCCTTGCAGGAGCGTTGCGGCCTTTCCTTTTTTTCGCCCTCGGAAAACTCGTGATGAGGGTATGTACAAGCAGGCTCTCCTATAAAATGTTGATTTTGTTTACCTGTAATATCAGGGAATTCGGTTGGTTCAATCGGCGGCAAAAGTTTATCCATATAAAAGTTTGGTCGTTACGACGTGGGCCTTATCGCTTGGAAACGGTATTTCGGAGAAAATGAAACGAGGCAGGTACAAGAGAGGCGCATGGTCAGCGCACTCGTGCAGACTCCGCGCTTAGAAGCCGGAAATTTCTCGAAACATATTTCTGCTAATTTGATCCGTGGTCCGTCGAGGAGATCTTCTTCGAGTCTTAAGCGGCCAGATCTATCATAAGTGAGAGAAACCGCCTGAATCGAATGCCGCACAGTCGTTTATATCTCCGACAAAAGCTGCGGAAGATCGTCTCCCCTTAGGACAATACCCTGAGAAAATAGCCGCATCAAGTAGCCCAGTATTCTTACAAATTTCGCCCCGTCCACAGAGAGAGAAAGTACGTATCTCCTAACTTGCTCGCTATATCTTCCGTAGTACATCCCGCGGACGTACCCCTCGCACGCGTGCACATCATCATCATAGCCGTCTAATTCCCGACGATAGCCCCCAGCTTAATCCTCCTCGTATACACACATAAAGTCGCCTGCATTAAAAGCGAGTAAAACATTAATCGCCCCGTTGTCGGTTGTCGCGGGCTGTGCGTACGTGTGCGTGTACTATTGATAGGCGCGCCGGAAAATCCACGCACGTGCCTCGCACGCGACTTCTGCACGCGCGCGGATAAGTGAACTGTATACCCGATGAGGGGGAGCCCAAAAAATAACTGATATCACGCCTTTCTATACGCGCATGGGATTTTTTCGTTGAAAATTTTCACGATTCGTTTTTCGAAAGCAACACTTTTTTTCTCTTCTTCTTTTATTCTCACATGGCATTTTTTTCTGGCACTACGCTTCTTCGTGAAATACTGAAATCACGCGTGGAGCTTTGAAAACGTCAGATATAAAAATAGTTTTATTGCATACACGCGTGGATGCGTAGTTCGTGAAAACATATTTTTTTTTTAATTTTCGTACGAATCTCGTTTCAATAAATGACTTTTTCACGATTTGCCGAAACAAAAATTCTATTGACGTATTATTTACTTTTATCCGGTGTGCCATTTGAAAAGAATTTTCATTATTATTTGACTTTTCCGCAGTTCAGTATTTGTCATATCTGCGTGAAATATTTTCACATCAATTTATTTGTCAAAGATAAATTCTTCTCTTCCGAAATATTTTAGTTATTCAAAATCCCATGTGCTTCGCAAGCAAAGAATTGTTCGTGCCAGTTTGCGAATATTAATGCGTAACACTTGTGCAATTGAAAAATGTATTTGCTAGAATCATAATATGAAGCCATATCGAACGACAAAGACATCTCCAGGACAAAGCAAACGTACGCCAGAATTAAGAAAGGGAAAAGAAAAAACCAAACAGCTCGGTAAACGTTTGCTCGGGTCACAAAAGCAGTCAAGCGCAAACACACACACACACCGCACGCGCGTGCAGTAGTTTATCTCGGATAGGACGTTCGCGTGTGATTTTTCGGGGGCTTGGATAAGTGCATCAAGCTCCCTTTCAGGCACTCGCGCTTGCGCGCAAACGGCAGTCGGATGTGCAATAAATCAAGCGGGCACGCGCGCGATGAGCCGAGAACGCTATAACCGAACTCCTTATCGAGTGCGGGCTAATGAAAATCTCCTGCGCCTGGCAAGATAAACTAACATTACCGCCATTTGTTCCAGGAATGGGGGGATGGTTTTTCCAAAAAATGTATCGTTTGCGCTGAGCGTGGGAAGAGGTGATTGAGACGTGGATTTTGCGTGTTTCGAATAATGGATTGGATCGATCTGTTTGCCCTTTCAGGATGTAACCGGACAGTGAGGAATTCCGTAGGATGGATACGCTGGACAGGACGCATGGGAAGGTGCGTCATAAGGATAAGAGCGCCTATAAGAGATCCGCAGGTACGTGTAGGAAATCTTGCTTGTTCACGTGCCCGTTCTTTGTCGCTCTCGGCCTCGCGCTCATACGCTCTTGTCTTGACGCGTGCGTCTGTTAAATTTGAACGCCGGCACGTACCGCGGCCTCGTAAATTTTCATCAAAGCCCACGCGAATAAGAATAATATTTTAGCAGACACACAGATAGCTTGCGGCTTATTTATAGGACGCGTGTGACGGCTAATAATGATCGGCCACGCGAGACTGTCGATGGGATTTCGAGAGCCACCATCGCCATCACGCGCGTTCTTGGAAAACTTTGCCGCAGCCAGTTCTGCCGCTGCTGCTGACGAACAATTCCAATTTACGTCCAGCAAACCCTTCGTCTCTCTCTCTCTCTCACTCTCTCTCTCTCTCGCTCTGGACTGGTCAAATTCGGGCTAACACCCGACACACCGGACGCGCGAAATTCGGATGGCAGCGGTGCGCGGCCCGATCGTAAAGTTTATCCCCGACGCGCCACGCCGCTCGTCGACCCTCCAATAAGAAATAACGGATCGTTCTTGCAAAGCATTTGCGAAGCCGCACTCGCTTGCACGTTTATACGTGCGACCAGTTGACGCTTTCATTTACTTCTCTTTGGTTTTCTCGTACACCTGACGCGGCCTGCAAAGTTGGTGCGACAAACGAGTGCACGCGCGCGCATTTATGTATTCGCAAACATTTCAGGTGATAGAGGTGAAAATAAGAAGAATGCAAGTGGGCGTGCTGAAGAACGCGCGCTGCGAGGGTGCCTACGTGCAGTTCTCCGACGAGCTGGAGGACCTCGACGAGAGCGCGGGTCGTTATTGCGGACACGTAACCGGCAACACCACAAGGTAATGTAACCAAACGAGATGCGCATGCTTTCGTGGAAAAGCGCGGGCGACGATGATATTCCTCAGATTTAAATTTATCGCCGTGGCCAAATTTTAGGAACAAAGAAGGCACCCAGAACGGAGACAAGCAAGGCGAGCGACGTTTACTTTGGCCGCGAAATTTACACGCGTACACACACCGGGAATCCGTTTAATTTGGACAGAGGCGCTGCGAAAACACCACGGGATGCGCCTGTGTCGACCGACTTTTTAACAAGCTTCCGCGTTCGTACAGCGACTCTATGTATAAAGTGACTCTCTCTCTCTCTCTCTCTCTCTCTCTCTCTCTCTCTCTCTCTCTCTCTCTCTCTCTCTCTCTCTCTCTCTCTCTCTCTCTTTGTTGGATGAACAAAGGAGAGGGATCCTCCCAAAGCTTTAATTAAGGTCGACTCTTGCCGCCGACGAGAGCAAACGTTTGATTCATTCGACACCTTGATTTTGTCCGTCCCTTGTCTATCTTTTTTCGGCACTAATTTGCACGTTCGAAGCTCTGTCGAAAGCCTATTCTTTTATCTTGAGGAAATTGGACTAGAAAATATTCGCTTTGATTTCATTGACAGCTTTCGTGCGCTTACATCGAGATTTTTCGAAATAAGAAATTTCGAGCGAGTAATCTTTTATTTTTTAGACGAAAAAGATCTTTCCGCGAATTCGTACGAGTCACTTTATCATTTCACCAAAACATTTCGTATCGTTCCGTTGATCGATGAGCTAAAATGCTACATTCTTCATCGTGGGTAATCGTTCATTTTATACACACACACACACACACACACACACACACACACATATTTGTTACCGAAGTTTTCTATCTGGCTTACTTTTTTCGCAATATCCACTCTCTGGACGAGTGAGTGCACTTTGTGTACGAAAATAAAACGGAGGTACTCCTCCTGTTGATTCGAAACTCTGTTTTTTTTAAACCTATAAAGAAGAGCGAAGCAATTTTTGAGCATTGACCGTGATGTCGCTTCTCTCACGAAAAAAGATCAATGGATTCGGATCCATTTATAGCGTGTTTTTTTTTTATTTTGACGACGTCACTTTATTTATTATCTATAACTCGAACAAATACTTTTTGAAATAGGAGAAATTGCTGCTCTTCGTGTTTTTTTTCATTTTCTGCTAGCTGGTCATTCGTCATTTACTGTAGTTTGACAAAGTAGATCATTAAACATTTTGTCAATGTATATCTTGAAATTTGATAAGAAAAAATGTTTATTTTACTTTGATACTCTTGAAACTCCGACGTGCATTAGTAAATGTAATACCTTTCAAAAATACAAGTAATAATTGAAACGTACATGAAAATTGTAATCCTATTACAAGCGCTTTAAAAGGATTAACTGATTTCAGAACGTATTCAACTAACTTTCAAAGAAACTTTAAAATGCAATAGTGCAAGTCAATCAAACGCTTAGGTAGAAAGCCAGCTAAAAGAAAAAAATCGTTCGCGGAAATTCCCCCTTTGCATTTCTGTTTATCGCGTCGACACACGCATGTAGCAAACAAAAATACAGGAAAAGGGTTGAACAAACAAATCTCACTCCCCAGATAGAGAGAGAAAAAAGTAGTAGAGGCGTGTAGAGCAAGAGCAAACTATTTTTGCGCGACACATTGAAGTGGCATGTAAGCGCGCGTGACGGGTAGAATCAAGTTTTCCCATCGTCGATCTCCATCCATAAAGCAGAATGTCACCCTTCTCTGCTTCGGCGAAAGAGCGAGCATAGCCGTTGTGCTTGCTCCACCGCACATCCGAATAGCTGCATCGCCGTCACGCTTCCCGCAACCAGATTTGTCGCGGTGACTTTCGTCATGCCGCGCCAAGGATAATTTCCCGTCACGGGTAATAAGTTCGTTCTCGTAGCCGGCGGCACGCGCTTCAAAAACAGAGCAAACGGCGCTCGCATGGGAATTAACATATTTGTCTAACGTATCGAGGATCTCTGGTAACTAATGTGCTGCATTTATAGACTGGTGTTGCGTCGAGGGCCCGACTTGACGGTAGTCCTGGACTCGGAAAGTCGCTTCGCAGCTGAAAATCCAGTGATCTTCTCGGCTCAGTACTCCATTCTACCGGCTCGTCTTGCCAACGAGAGACACCATGTTCATCAAGAAGAGCCATCACCCGCTGCGGTTCTCTCCGCCTCGATGGCCGGGGAATGTCCACTCGAATGCTCCCATCGCAACGACTTGAGGAGCTGTCGGCTGGTGTCGCCCGGTTACCCGGGAATTTACCCCCGCGGTATCCGCTGTCGTATAGCGTTGGAGTCGAGCACGGGCAGATTTCGTATCGGGGGAACGCCCGACGATCGCTACAATCTGATGAATCACACTAGTCAAGAGCCATGCAAATCGGAGTTTTGCGAGCAGGAGCACGTGGACGGAAACGGATCTGTCAGCCAGATGAGTAATGACCAGCCGGACGAGCAGAGGACTCACTCGAGGAGCGGTAAGATTTTTCAGACTAACATTTTTATGAAATATGCTTTGCGCTTGGAGTGTTTGAACAAGTCTCGTTACCACTTTGAAAAGATCTCTTCGTCAAGCGCGCGAATAATCGATATTCTCTGTTCGCTAGATAACATTGATCATTCGTGAAGAACGTGTCTACGATTCCAATTTTCATTAGGGATTCATCAGAAAATTCTGAAACAAATGTTTATTTTAACAGGGTGATGATTGCTTTTTTTTCGTTATGGAACATAACATACATAAGAAAAAAAAGGCTAAAAACGTATATTCGGCGCGCGGAGGACATTTGTATTCACCACAAATGCCATCAGCTCAATAAGCCATATAATTCGGTACATTAACCTTTCTCAGCTGGCGGAGAAAGAGAGAGAGAGAGAGAGAGCGCGCGATCAAGCCGTCCATTTGAAACAAAGAAAAAGTCGCGCGATAACGAAAGAGATACGCAAAGACATCGAGGGGCAGTCGAGATAGTAGCCTCGGCAATAGAGAACGGAGAGAAAAAGTGGAGGGTACAACAATAAAGCCATATCCCAGTAGTAAAGAAGCCTTTTCCCCTTTAACGGCCAAGTCGCTCTGTTCGACAGATCGGGACGAGGAGGACGAGATAATCATCGGGCAGAAGCAGAAGCAGCAGCAGCAGCAGCAGCAGCAGCAGCAGCAGCAGCAGCAGCAGCAGTCTCAAGCCCTGAGGAAGGAGCAGCGCCGTCGATTACGAAGTCAGCAGCAGAAGGCAAGCGATTTGGAGACGAATCGGTCGTCGAGGCAGCGGACTGGCTCCGATTACGAGAGCAGGATCGAGCTGTCGCTCGTCGACAATGCCGCTCGCTCCATCAGCGAGCTGCTGGTCAAGCAGCAGCAAGCTCGCAGGAATCCCAAGAGCGACTCTCCGTTCTGGTCGAAAAACAGGTGACTATACGCGCGCACCCGCTTCGTCTTTGTCCGCGTCTCCTGTCCGCTTCCCTTTTTTCCCTTCTCCTGCGCGCCGCGAGCTTCCGGCGCGGGAAGCCTAGCTCTGATGCATTACTTGGGATTAGAGAGCCCGCAAGCCCCGACCGAAGTTTCTTGCGTGTCTTGCCAGTCCGCGCGCGAGCTCGCCATTCTCCTCCGCGCGCTCTTTTCCAAAAGATTTCTTGTTTAAGAAGAGCTTCATTTTGCTCTTTTTTCTATTTCGACAGCGAACATATTGATTGAACAAGCTTTTATTCCGATAATGGCAAGTTTTATTTCTCAACGTCAGAGTTCCTTTCCACCGCGTTGGCTTTCTCTTATCTTCTGTTTATCCGACGAGCTTTTATCCGTTGGCTTATTTAGAAGTGCTAAATCGTAGAATTTCGGGGTTCCGCGATTGAGTCGAAGGATAAAACTGTATAACGTAACTTCTTGAATAGAGATAGCGAGTTTTGAAAACGTACTGATCAAGTTCACGTGGCCCGCCTTGTTTCTAAACAAACGTAAAATTGCTTGATCCCGAGCGAACGCTGCTGCAACTAAGCGTAACATGTACTTTATTTGCATTATTGTCGCGACAGATCATCGCCATCCCGATCTATTCCGGAGGTTCGCGAGGGCCATCATCACAAGAGTCATCATCAGCATCAGCATCACCGTCGCCGACGTCCACAGGACGAGCTCGAAGCGAAGCTCGGCAGTGGCACTTGCGTGGGCGACTACCTGGCTTTGCTCGAGAGCGTCAACGGCCGAGTGCTCGAGATCGGAAAGTTCTGCAGCGAGGGTCGAATCCCAAAAATAATGTCGCGCGGACGCAACCTTATCTTGGAATTCCACGCGGAGCGCGACGGCACGATAATGCACGACGGTTTTCACTTGAGCTTGCAAGAAACCGAAGCAGCACCGACGGCCGGAGCTTTGGCGAGTCCGGCGATCGATCGCCATCAATACAGCTGCGAGTTCACGTACAAGAGCGGCGACAAGGCGCGCGACAGCGTTAAGTCCCCGAGGAGCTGGTATCCGCCTAACACGCTGTGCAACTACAGATTCGTCGGACGCTCTAACGAGCGAGTGTCCGTACTATTGAAGATCGTAAGAGAGAACGCCAACGGAGAGGACACGCACATGACGAAGCGCAGAAACGACACCCTCGATCACTGCCCGGGAAACGAGCTGGCCGTTTACAACGGAACACACTCCAACGGCAGTTTCCTCATGTGGTCGTTCTGCGACGCTACACACAGCGACATCAATAACATACAGGTTGCTTTGCCCGGCTCGCCAAATATCAACCGTTACTTATCTCCACAGTACTCTTTAACATTACATTCACGATTTCAGGTACCTATCGTCTCGTCAGGCAGCGCGCTGCTCATCCAATTCTTCAGTGCGGCTGGCTCTTACGACGGTCAAGATTTCACCTACACCATTACGTACAAATTCGTGAAAAGGCCAGTGAACACGACGCGAAGACGACAAGTGACGGCGGACGAAACGAGACTCATATCCCTGAGGCCCGTCAACTTTTCAGCCCTGAATCTCAGCGACAGCGACAACTGCAACTGTGATTTCGCCGATCGCATCGGCAACTTCAAAAGCTGGTTCATCGTTCTGGTGGTCTTGGGCGTCATTTCCTTCGGCGGTGCTATCATTACCATCATCGCGCTCTTTGTCAAATGCGCAAAGATGCGCGCTGCCGAAAACAAACTCTTACAGACGCCTAATCGTTCGTCGTTTTACAAAAGTTCCACTGAGTGAATGAATGTCCAGTGTGTTTTTCTGACTGATAACTTGATCATCTTTTTGCAATGGGTGAGACTCGGTGCGTGAACGTGTATATTGAATTAAGCGAATCAATACGAAAATAACAATGTAAATATACCAGCCGTTATACTTCAATAGTCTTTTATTTTAGAGATACGAGGGAATGTGTTCATTTTGTTTTTAAGACCAATACGTAATAAAGTCACGTAGAAGCTCAGTTACCAGTTAGTCATTTAGTCAGATTATTTGAAAAGTTTTACCTTGCAAATGAATTTCAGTGAAAAACTTTATGTACAATAAATAAATTTATATCCAATAAGTTAAAGAAGCATTTCTAAATATAGGAGACATTCTAAATATGTTTGTATATAAGTAATAAAATTGGGTTATTATTATAATCAGAGTTTTTTTTCTTTCATAGAATATTTACCGATTTTATAAAGAATGTTCTCGTGGTTGCCAAAATAAGCCCTAAGATATTTGTATTTTGAAAATTAGAAGAATTATTATTGTACATTTATTGATAAATTTAAAGATTTTGTAAATTCAAAAATTGATAGAAATTATTCTATTTTTAACACATTTTGAATGACAGTTTTCTATTTATAATTATATTGATATGTATTACAATTTCAATTTATTTAATTAACGCCGTCTTCTTTTATATCATTTTGTACAATTTGGCTTTATTCAAATAATCATTATTCAAAAAAACAATACATATCACACCATTAATTTTATATATATAATTGTGATCAAGCTAATACCAGAATTACGGTCTGTAACCATTGTAATATAAAATATGACCTGGAATTTTCTGTAATAATGAACTGATACTTATACATCTATGTCAAAAGATCACTCATAGATACGAAAATCAGCTCCTTTTCATGAGCTAATAATGAGTGTATTATTTCACAATTATATCGAAGTATTGTATCATATACCGAAAGTAAAATAAAGTTCTTTGGATTTTACCATAACACAAATATATTTGCTTTGTATCTTCCCTAAGGTTAATTACCTATAGTTATATTATTGAAAACTCAATTATTTTTGTTTATAGTTTGTTATACATTACTATTTTTATTTGAAAACTAATTAACTACAGTTATCGTATTCTTATGAAAATTTTATATAATTAGATAAATTAATTTCTATTTGGTTGTCTTAACAATCAATATGAAGTAAATCCATGATATTTTGTCTATTTGTTCAGATTATTTTTATTCCTAGATGATATTTTTTAAAAAATTGGATGTATAGCTATCCGTGTATACCTTGTTTTACAAAGTAAACTCAGAATTATCATTTATTGTAATAAATTTTTTATTTGTTACCAAGTCATTTACAAACTTTATAAGTACTAATAAGTTATTTTTTTCATTACACTTTGTTTTTCTGATTGATTGTTTATGAATTACTGATAAAAATTAAAAAAAAAGAAGGTCCCACCGAGATTTGAACTCGGATCGCTGGATTCAGAGTCCAGAGTGCTAACCATTACACCATGGGACCTTGAAGTTATGGAATGTTATCTCACAAATAACTCAAATGAAAAAAAATAAAGTATAATTCTTTTGAAATCAAATTTTCAGCTATGATATAAGTTATAAAAATATGAATGTGTGATAACGTTATCGCGGATAGAACAAATAGTTACGCAATTATAACATTTTGAACAAAAAATTGTCAAAAACTTCCTTATCAACTGTGATGAGTTAAGTTGGCTGTACTGATGTTTGCACGCTTAAACTCAAAATTGATATGTGGTGGTCTCAAAGTTATAAATTCAAAAAATTATTTCTAAGATATAATTTTTTGAATATATAATAAAACTTATGTCAGTGACTAATATGTTATTTATTTGTAAACTTACTTAGATATGTCAAAACTGGCACTATGAAAAATAAAAAAAATAATAGAATACGTTGGTAAAAAATTAAATTCTTCGTTATTTTTTTATCACACTTATTAAAAAAATATTGTTGAATCACTATACATATTAACATTTCTACGTTTTGCAATTGTCAGAATTATGATTTTCACACTAACGCAATCGTGCTCTTTCTCATTAACAATAAACTACTTTTATAAAGTTACTTTATTGCTTACATTAATGATTAATTGTCTAGTTGGATAAAACAATTCCTTGGAGCTTTTTAAACCAAGAATGCAGTCATGCCAACAGAAATTTGAGTAAATTAGAGGTGACATCTAACTGTTTAAATCTGCACTAAAAAAAGAGAGCAAAAACAATAAAATTTATAATTCTATAATAATAAATATAAGACGAAATTATTGCGTACAAATCATAAAAAATGAGATTATAGTGACGTATATTATATAAAAAGTTTTTTTCAATGAGTTTTTTAAAAATTAAATTAATTATTCAACAATGAAGTACTGTAAAGTATTTAAATTTAGATTTCTTAAACAAAAGACAACTTTAATAATGTTATTATATCTAATCTCGTAAGCAATAAATCTGATCTTTGGATTATGTGAAATGCAATTTATATCAGGCATCAAGTACTGAAAAAAAAATTTTTTATGACTACGGAAAACGCAATCGATCTTAACGTCGTCGCTGAGTCGCCGTTGTCGTCATCCTTGAAAAGTCCGGCAGGTGTCACCGGCGTGTCGACTAACACGAAACGAAAGGCCATCATATCCTTCAACGACTGCCACCGCTGTTAGCACAAAACCAGACATTCGGAGCTTTGTCACGATCGACGCACCAAGTGCGTGCTGGCAGAAAAAAAACGCGCGTGAAATTTACAAAAAACAGTCAAGAATAAATATGGCAGGACGCATCATGGCAGTGAAAGAGAGTCTGGAGAAGGCACTCAAGGACGATAACAAACCCTGGACCAAATACCTGGCATTAGCCGAACAAAAAACCGGTGTCGACAGGGTCTACATCTTCGTCGGTGAGTTCAATAATTCGAGGTTATAATCTTTATTCTTTTTCACATTTGGATACACACCTTGTACTTTGTACGTTGATTTCCTTTTTACATTTTATGCGGATTTACGTAACTTTTGCGAACCTATCGTAATGTAAGCTTGCCAATGAATGCTAAATACATATTTTTCCTTTGTCTATGCTTACTCGAGCGACCCATTTTGACCATAAATTTTGGCTCTATAATTCATCTTCAAGGTTTTAAATTGTCATAAAATGGCAATGTGTCACTGTAAAGAATATTAGAAATAAAAAAATCTGTCGAGTATTTAACTCCATTTACCGCGATAATACGACTACTTTTGCAAGTCATCTATCACTGTCATTAATTGTAATGTCTAAGAGTGTATTTTTATCCAGACCCCGGATAAATCAGTCTATAATAACTTTGATAATATTCATTAAATATGTGATTAGCTTATCAAAACTGATTGCTCTGATAGAAAGCTTATGGTATAATTTCTCTTTGTTTTTTTCCTATCAATATGTATAATATATGCATTATATTATGATTTATTGAAAACATTTTTTATGTTAATTAACTAAACAATTTTTTACAATAAAAAAATCATTTTATTATGTTATTTGACTTATTGCTCTAGAAACATACATTCTGATTAATTCTAAAATTCTGTTTTTAGCCTCAGTCTTATTCTTGGCACTCTACCTTGTAGTTGGAATAGGACAGCAATTGGTGTCCAACATAATTGGCTTCACATATCCAGCATACTGCTCTATGAAAGCCATAGAAACAAAGCAAAAAGATGATGATACCAAATGGCTTACTTACTGGGCAGTATTTGCTGTGTTCACTATTGCGGAATATTTCTCTGATTTTATTGTTGGTTGGTTCCCAATATACTGGCTTGCTAAAGTAAGAAAATAATTAAGATTTGCAATCAATGGCTATGTAATTGTATTTTTCACTAATTCGTGTCATTTTTTGTTTTTAGTGCTTGTTCTATATTTGGCTCATGATTCCTACTGAATATAATGGATCCCTGATCTTATACCGCCGTGTGATTCGTCCCAAATTTCTCCAATACCAACCCAATGTAGATAGTCTTTTAGAAAATGCCAAAAAAGCTAGTAAGTTACAAAATTAACAAACTCAAAATTCTAAACTAATAATAATCAAAAAACACTAACACAGTAAATTAATATTTATTACAGCTGGTGGACTGTTAAATGAAAAATCAGAGTAAATTCAGTTACTGCCTAACGTGACTTACGTTCTCCAAAAACTAGTAAATTAAGATATGTTCTTCATACCCATTCCTACATTGATATATGCAATAATTTTGCGCAAAAAGTATCCTTATCCTTACAAGATTAGTAAATATAAATAATTTTATTTATAAATCAAAATTATGTAGTACCAATTATGGTGCTATGTACAAGCTTCTATTTATTTGCATTTAGTTACCAACTAAAGCTGTAATTTTATACCAATTTAAAAAACAAATTTTCACAGTGCCTATGAGTTAAATTTTCGATATTTAAAGGGTTGCAATGTTGTAAAATATTTGTAAAAATACTTTCATGTGCCATTCCTTATTTTTTTGCTTGCTTATGCATCTATAACAATTGTGTGCATATTAATTGTATTACCAATGTTGATATATGTAAATTTTTTTTTTTTACGTCTTTGTAAACTAATTAACAATTTTTTCAAAATTCTTCCGTGCTTGATAAAACGATGTATCGTTTGTGAAAAAAATTATATATAAATATTCAAGATTTTTCATTATGCTGAAGTTTTGATAACGTAATTAAATAAAATATAAGTGGTTCTTTTTATGAAGTATTAAAATTTTCTTTTAGTGATTTAACTTTAGTGCATATTAAAAATAAGGTGATACATAACTAAAGAAAAATTAGATGATAATATAAATGATGGAGTAATGCTTAAGAGCTGACGTCACAAATAAAAGGATTTGGAGAAAAGGCAATTTCTTTTAGTTTGCTGTGTTGTTTCTTCTGATTGAAATAGCTTAAGATAATTTTTATATCTTATAATTATTTGTACAAATAACGGTTGATTACAGTCTCGTTTTGAACAACGCGTCTAGTATTGTAGCGCACAAAATTATCAATTATTTTCTTTTTCAATCCCGTTCGAAGAAGAATGAATTATCCCCAGAAGCTTTATTTTCGGTAATCTGTTTCGGCAAGAGTGTGGCTAAGAAAGAGAGATAGATAAATTGTTAGTCAAGTTGTTATGCGAAAGCATTTTGTAAAATAGAAGTTGTAAAGAAGCGACAAGGCATACATCTCTTTGTAATGGAATTTCTCGGCGGTGAGTGCAAGCTTGCGAATGTGCCTAATGGTTGTTGCCGCAGCAATTTGAACTTCCGAATCTTCTGATCCGACCAAACGAAGCACATGCTATATGATATGAAAGAACGCGGAGTTTTTTTATTGATATTCCTTTTGCGATTTACGGTAACAAATAAACTTAAGTGTTACATAAATCAAACTGTAATTTTTATTATTTGATTGTGTACCTTGACGACTCCGCAAGTCCTCATAGTGATGCAATTTGATGGCTCTTTGCTTAGATGACAGAAAGCAATACATACTCCTTTCAGTACTTCTTTGTTTGGACTTAGCAAATAGTTGACCAACGGTGCTACTGCATTTAATCTTCCAAATTCGTAATTATTCTGACCCCATTCACAACAAAAAGCTATAGCGAGCGTCAAATTAGCACGTAGCTTTTCATCTTCCTAATTCAAAGAACGAATGTAAACATAATTATATAATAGGTATTTGTTGAAGTCAGCATAACTCACGGTATGCACAAGATCAGCAAGTTTCTTAACGACATCATGATCAGTAAGTATCCCAAGATTCTCCGGATCCGTAGCAATTTCAGCGATGGTCGCGCAAACAGCACTCAATACTTGCGTATCTTGACTCTCAAGAAGACTAACGACAAGCTCAAGCCCACCAACGAAAGCGCGAACCATCTCAGCTGAATTCTTGGCATAACGAATGCACGGGACCAAGGCAAAAGAAGCGTTTCTCTTCACCGCGTCGCTCGAGTGTTTCAGCAGTGACCAAACTAAACGTACACCGTCTAATTGATGCTTTGCATCGTTGATCACGTCCATACACAGCTCGTTTTGAGCGCACTCGCCGATCACTAAGGGGAGATTCTCAAGCAGAGGCTCGTACGTTGCGCTAAATAGCTTTATCTGACAACCAACATATTGAGGAATATTTTACCATGCCTTTGTACACATCGTCAATGCTCATAGAAATGTGAATTACCAATTTCGGTAGTCCTTCACTCGTTCGCAATAAATCTCTGTTAGTCGGATTCTTACAACACTCGGCCAATGCACCAACGACATTCGCAAGAACATCTTCGTTCTCATTCTCACCGAGGAGAGGAACTAAAGCGGCTACCAAATTGTTCTGGTTAAACCGGCTTACGTTTTCGGGACTCATTGCGCATTTCCAGATTGCACCTGATACCGCGGCCAGTAACTTTTTGTTCGCGTACACCTATAGGCCCCATGAGAGCGTCATTTTTCAGTAGAATGAGTTATTCATAAAAACAAACAATGAAATACATCCTGGACCTCTTTGTCCTGTACGAGTTTGCACAGAGGATCTAGACCACCAGCCTCGCGAACCATGTCTCTGGTGACTTTGTTAACGGCGCACTTGAAAATCGCCAAAGCGCAATTCTCTTTAAGTTTAACGTCGTCGTTCTCCAGATGACGGACTATGTCAATGATGATTTCCATGTTTTCGAAAGCTAGTCTGAAAACTTTCTAAAAGCAAATTGTCGTCGATGGGAAAGGCACAAGTTTGCTTAGAAAATGGATTAATTAACAACGTACTAAATCGGCGCACTGCTGTACTGCCCCCATCATCGGTACAATAAGTTCAGTGATCTGCGATTTGAGGAATCGAGCAATAAGGAAAACAGCTCCGTTCTTTCTCAATTCTTCCTTGATTTTCGGACTACTGCTTAGCGAGTTGAGAACCTTGGCGCAGCCGATGGCAACAGCCAATAGTTCCTTGTCGTTCTCGTCGAGATCTTTGGCCTTTCTCTGGATCACTTTATCCGGCACATCCATTATATCTAACTTGAGTGGAAAGAAACCTTAACAACTACTTTCAAGAGCTAAAATTGATCGTAGCAATAGCGAGAGAAATTACAATAAATGGAACAGCGCCTCGCATTCGAATCTGCTTCCTGGCCTTCTTCATCATGGCGATATTAGCCATCGTCTCAACCGTAAGAACTTGGATATCTCTAGCCGGATGCTTGAGCAACTCTATCAGCGGTGTGACAATGCCCAAATCGACGAGGTGCCTTCTCATTTCCAAGGCCGACGATATCTGCAGTAGTACGGCCAAAGATCCGTGCTGACATTTGAGTTCCTTCGTCTCCAGCAGATTGACCAGCACTTCCAATCCGCCCATCTCGTAGATCGATCTTTGAATGACCTGGTGCGATTGGAAAAAGGCAGGCGATCAAACGATAATTGCTAAACTGGACCATTGCAATGTAGGTATAGAGCGCACCAAGAACGCACCCGGCTGCCAAGCTCGTAATCCTTGAGCAGGCAAAGCGCGACTGTAGTGGCAGTTTGGTTTCCGGCTTTCATGTATTTGATTAACTTCTGCATGTGCCAGAACTCGGCTGGCACTTCGGCATTCATTTCATCTTTAATGAAACGACTCTCGTCGTCGCTTTCCGAATCCGGCTCGTCATCCGAACTCTGTTCCTCGATTTGCTCGCCCACTCGACGAATTCGCGGTCCATATGGTTTGCCTGTTACGATTGAGATTTGTGGTGCTTTCAACACGTTTGACGATACCTCTTCTTTGGATGTTGTTAGCTTTACATTGCTCGTTGGTCTATAATAACCCGTCAAACATCGGCCATTGATTATATGAATAATGATTAATTTTTATGATTAATTACTTTTAACTAAAACAAATTGAAAAAAATTACGCAATTCTTCGATCTTTTTCTTGTTTAAAGTTCCTCTTTTCAATTTATCCTTTACCGTAATGTGCTAATATTCTAATCGACTAGTTCATAAATAAATTTCATCGCGTAAAATGCCAAAATGAAAAACTTAACGAAATTAATTTGTTTAAATATTATCGCAAACAAATAATTTCCTAAACTTGACCAGAATGTTATCAAGTACATTTGATTTAACTCTAAATTTTAACCCCTCATCCAAATCTAGCCTTCGCAAATATAAGAGTTTCGAATCCTTCAAATAAAATTGATTTAATTCTGTTTCGATAGTCAATGTGATGTTAACATAATAGGTTATAAATCGATATTTTTTTATTATACTCACTTCGATACTTTAATGGCGGGCATGTCATCCTTTTTCTTTTTAGTAGACATCTTTGTAGGAGTATAATAGACCACAAATTAAAAACTTCCAATTTCGTCAAGTTGAATAAAAAATTTTAATGCATCCATAAAAACTAACATGAAGTTCATCGTAGAACCAGATTTGAAGCAACAAAATGCGATATATCGATCAAACAAACTACAGTTAAGGAGCGACTAAGTATATAGTATATGTACAATGAAGATTGCATGAATGAAATGTGATGGAAAAGGAGAAGGAGAATAAAGAAAACCGCAATGTTAAATTGTCTTAAATTTATTATCATATTAACGCAACTACAAAGCTAATCATAATAAGTGACGCAGACGCAGATACATAATAATTGTCGCACCCTTATATATCATGCTTTGCAAATTATAAAGGGGGAAATGTCAAAAATGATGTTATATAATATTATGTAACATTTTATTTATTTTTTTTTTTGCGTGCGTATCATTTCTATAAATCATCCAGAAACCACATAAAAGACCACACAAATAATATTTGATAGGAACTTTTTTTAGCGCCGAGGCAGCATGTCTCGATTACGCACAGGTACTCATTTAAAAATTTTTATTTTCTTATTCTCACAATTATAATATAATGATATGATAATTTTGAGAATATAAAAATAGAGATAGAAAATTGTAAATTATCAATGTTTCAATGTACACGGCCAATTCGTAAACTTTACATTTATCGATATAATTGTAACGTTATATACTTAGTACCAATATCGTCGTAAAAAAGAGAAGACCAGTACAGATTAAAATTTTTTGAAAATAGATAACTTGTGATTAAAAGCAATTTTATCAATTGAAAACAGATATATAATGACCACTATTTATTTGCTAAAAGTTGAAAAACAAAAAAGAATTTGTAATCGAGTTACCACGTAATACACAATATTCCAATCATTCGTATAAAATATTTAAAAAAATTATAACTAAATATAAAAATGGTCTACATAGCAATCTGAATTTATTCCACAAGAGGAATCGTCTTGAGTAGGGTGCCATTAAAATTTCTATGATGATACTTCATATTATATGGAATTTTTATAATTTTTTTAAGAATTAAAAAAGGATTTTATTTTCCATAATATTTGTCGAATTTCCATGATAATTCCATAATTTCCAGATTTTATGGCAACTTTAAAACATGCAAATGCTAAAGACCAGTGGCACTTTAGCACTTGCACGTACATGTAAACAGCTTCCAGACGATTTAGCGTATAGATTAAAGTCATGTGGCTATTTATATTTATAAATTTTTATAATTGATGCAGGTGCAAATATGGCACCTGCGGTACTTAAAATTTACCCTTGCACCAATTGTAAGAAATTAATCTACGAAAAAAAATATACGTACATAAAAAAAATTAACTTGTCGATATCACTTGTCTTATCGGAGCTACGAAGAAAAATTACTCGCGTTGAAGATTATTTCAACAGTGGAAAAAACCTTGGAATTAATGATGTAATAGCGCTGAGCAATATTATCATACTTTTTCCATATGATTTTATGCTCTAAAACTTTATAGTACATGCACGATGGAGGCCGTGGTTGAAACTATTTATATTACAATATCATCGTTCAGATACTGTTTTGTTCAAATGTCAAAACTTTTTGTACATATTTTCTATACTAAAACTATGAAAAGAAATAAAAAGAAAAAAAGCGATGAATTATTAAATACCGATGAACAAATGATTGAACATGAAATTAAATCTATTAAGAGAAAGTCAGACATTACCGGTACCGTCTGGCACCATAGGAAAAGAATTTTTCATAACTATCTTTACCTCTAGTGACTATTTTGTAAAGTAAAACTATTAATACACTATACTTTTAACAACATCTCAAGACATGATCTGATAGATTTGCAGAATATTAGCAAACATAGTAATTATTGCGACGCGAATTTTATTCGCGAACATCTATGAATGTATCTAGTCTGTCGAAGCCTTAAAATTTTACAAATAGTTTGTTTGCTTTTCTTTCATTGTCAATCGTACAATTAAACAGAATCGCTGCACAATAACACATGTTTAAACGAGAATGGAAACTATAAATATTTTTCTAAAAAATCTGCGTTAAATAGTCGTAATAAGTTTAAGGTAACGAAAGATATATTAATCACATTTAAAAATTTTAGAAAGATTCTCGAAAAATTATATATTAAATGATTTCGTACTTTTTACTTTAACGAACTGTATCAATGGATTCATTGATGATATTTCATATCATTATTATGACGACAATTTCTTAATGGAGTTTTAACTCTTTCTTTGGAATGGAGAAACCGTTGTACCAATCCGTTGATCCAGTTCCAAATAACCACAGAATAGTTTTTTTTTAATTTTTACAAAAGTTTGATGCTTTTGTTTAACCGGAATCAATTATCATTACAATCACAATCTAAGTTCTAAACATAATGGCCTAAATTTTGAACAGTTAATGTTTATTGAAAAGTGATGTGAACTCTTAAACTATATGCCATTCTTTGGAATTATACTTTTTTAAAGTATCTTTTGTTACATCACTGATTTTAGCAATTTTAGTACACTGTAGTACATGCAAATAAAAAGCTTGACAACATTTTAGTCAGTCTTAATTCAGTCTTACTTTGTATAAAGATGCAAGGTAAGTGTCATTTTCATAAAAAAAGCATGTCGTCAGAATAAAAAAGACAAGTCAAAGATAAAAAAAAAAATAATTGAAAGATTGAAACTTCCAATAGGCGCTAAAAAATCAAAATTAAAGTGAATCATTTCCAAACTAAGTCATATAGTTTGACACTTTCACAAATGAGCAATTTGCATTTACATGTTGCTATGCATACAAAAACCTTTTGAAACACAATATGATATGCATCTGTTGCTCAAATGAATCCATGCTTATACTATAAAAAAGTAAATAAGTTCGTAGACGATTCTTGCAAAGCATTTACGAACAGTTCAAGAACTAGATTGATTTGACACTTTTTTTGAAGTCAAGCTAATAAATGAAGAGTTCGAAAAGTCCCGTCTTGGGAAATACATTTTTATAAGTTAAAAATTTAAGGAGTTATTGATTCTTATAGACCAAAATGCCACGAGAATAAATAATAATTTTCAATATTAGACTGAAATATTTGACTCCGTATTTAAGAAATTGTTAAAAGTATTAAAAACTAATAATTCAAAGTTAGTCATAATTGAATTTTTTTGAACGACTACAATTATTTTCCTATAACGTTAGCAGATGAAGACTTTCTCTTAAAATTGTTTTTCTTATCGCGTTTTATTTATACTTCTAGAGATCCGTCAAGACAAAATATATCTTTACTAAACAAAAAACATCTATCTTATTCATTGTCAGATAAAAATAGACAGTCATAGTAATCATAGAATTCGATGAGATTTATCATCGACAGTTAAAAGATAAAAATTATTTGCAAAATTGACGAAGACAAGGAAAATCGAAAATTCCTTGCTTAGGAAGCTCTATTTACATATCCGCATTGTTTCAGAAGAATCAATAACTTCTTTATCATTTGCTTTTATCAAGAACTCAAAATTATTTTGCACGGATCCTGGACGAAAGACCATAAGTCCCTCCTCCACAATCAATTGCAAATTTTCCAGTTAAAAACTCCCTACGTCAATCGTTAAGTTTATTCTCTTGTTTATTTTATTTTGTTTTATTAAAATATCGAACAAGAGTCAGAGCGCGCGGTCGTATACACGGCCTTATCTACTTATTTACTTTTTTATATTTTCTTTTTATGTATAGTTATACGAAAATATTGCTTCTCTCAGATCCGCGGCATCACTTTAAATTTCTTTTTTTTCCTCGTTTACTTTGTTTCTCGTTAAAAGTGAATTCGTTTTTCTTCTAATCTATTATTATTTTTGGAGCTCAGAGCCAAAAATACATAAACAATAACATCTTAAAATCATCTTACATCTTCGATGCACCAATTGCCCGAACCCGAACCCAAATAACCCGGTTTCTTCTCAGATAAATCACTTTTTAAAAGTGCCCTTTTCAGCTGAGATTTGCCCGAAACACAGCGCATGATTAATCACAATTTTTTCCGATTATCTCTACGTAAATACAATTAAAATCATTCAATTGTCGAGAGGTAATGATATTATCACGCGCACGATCGTTCCCTGCTACGCTCTAGAACACGCTCACGCGATTATTGCCAAAGTCGACGACAACAATTTTACCGTCGGGAGTGACTGCCACTCCCGATGGCCGATCCATCTCGTTGAAGCCCTTGCCGAACGAACCGAATCTCCAGCGGCAAACGCCGTTGGCGTCTAAAATTTGAACGCGATTATTACGCGAGTCACATACGATTACGTGGCCGAAGTCATCAATGGCTACTCCCTGGGGCCTCAACAAGGTCCTCGGTGGCATTGGTTTGGGCGATAGACTTTCGCAACCCAAAACTCTCGCACCCAAGAAGTCATAATCGACCACGATGAGCCTATGGTTGTTGAAATCTGTGACTATGACGTTGCCATCGATGTTGAATGCAACGCTTCTCGGCGAATCGAGACCCTTCCAAAGGTGAGGCTGCTCGAAGCCGAATTTGCGCAAAAAAATGCCTTCGGCGCTGAACAGCTGGATACGATGGTTGCGCGTGTCAGATACGACGATTTCGCAAGCCTCGTTCGTCGAAACATCCCATGGGTAGTTGAAAAGTCCCGGGCTGCTGCCCTTCGCGCCGAAAGCAATCACGAAATCACCTGTCATCGTCAGCACTTGAATGCGGTGATTGTCCTTGTCCGCGACGACGATACGTCGACGGGCGTCCACGGCGATACCAGCTGGCCTGTCAAACTGAACGCGACCGGAGCCGCGGCAGCCGAATCGGCGCACGAATTTGCCGAGCCGGCTAAAAATCTGGATGCGATCATTCGAGCGATCGGCGATCACGATGTTGCCGTCGCGATCGCACGCAACACCCCACGGTCGACATAGGCTTCCCTCGGAATCAGAGTGCTCGTGGATGGTCAAAAGTGCCTCGCCGATACTGCTGTATGGATTGCCCTGGTATTCGGGGCGATTTTGTAGGACCGAGACATTATAGTTAACACCAAAAACTGCACAGCCACGGGGTACGTGCAGCTGCGGAGGCGTCAACTGAAACATTTTGTTGCAAATTCAACAAGTGCCCTTTTCCTTGCTACCGAATTGTTTCACAAAATCGCATAGGAATGTATACTTACAGACGAGATGGTAGGCCGAGCAAGTAGTCGTCGGTCACCAATATGGCCAACCCCAGTTAAGACGTTGCCAAGTTTCTTGACCGAATCGATAATTTGATTGTCCAACAAGTTGAATTTAATGAAGTGCTCCTCGAGTGGTGGTAGATTATTGCGAATAATCTTTACTTGGAATAGCTAACGAGCACAAATACTATGGTTAGTACGCACCAACAGCAACTATCAAATGCTATAAGTATAAGTGGAATAATCACCTGAGCAGAAGCCAAGTCCTTAACAATATACAACTCTAGTGGACTGGTGGAAAGTGGCGGAAGCTGGACGGCTGTGTTAATGTCGTTAATAATTTCAAGAAGACGTGACAGTCCAAATCTGAGTCCCTCGTCGCGTACTTTTAAAGCAGCGTGTTTCTTTTGTCGAGTAGTTTCAATGAAGTCCATTATCTCTCTATCGCGGATAAACATTGTATCGCGAAGTCGATGAACCAACTCACGCACTCCTTCGGTCGCCTCGTGCGCCTGAGCATCCAACGTTTGAGCGATGATCTGCAAACAAAGTTCTCGTTGCATTTCACAACATATCCTCGAGACCAAAACAATCAAACCGTAGAAAAAAGAATCGTGCTCACCACTCCTCTGTCTATTTCCTCTCTGATGGTAGCTACTGCGAATCGGCACTCGGTGAGTATTCGCTCAATTTCCAATTTAACAGACACGTTAGCCTGGAGAAAATCTCTAAAGATGTGATCCTTGTGTTGTAAGAATCCGCACTCGTAACAGAAAATTTTTAAGCAGGTCTTGCAGTAGAAAGGTGGAATTCCACTATGAGTCGAGCAATAGATCATTGGTTTTTCAGAGATAACACGGTGATTCGTGAATATTAAACATTTTTCATCCACTGAGGCTGGGATAGCTAATTTCTGTTCGGGAAATGGGAAATTGGTTTTAAGTTGTTTAGGCACAGTGCGTTGTTGACCGGTCCATCGGTGTCCGATCCCGAGAGTCGGTTGGTATATCAAGGTAATCTTATGAGTCTGCTTGAACGGCACCACGTTTAGACTTGTTGGCGCAGATAATATTTCCTTGAATAGTAAAACATGTCTAGCAAATTCTTCTGTGTTTGCAAGTTGTGAAAAACTGCTCTGTAAGAAAAGTCACATTTTTGTTTTTTTAAAACACGTTTCTATTGCCGTGAAATTCCCATCAACTACAAGATCAACTTACTTTACGGAAGAAGTCAAGACAACCGTCGCAAGATCGTTCGGATGTGCAGTCATAGCATCCAGTTGCACGACTGAAGTCAGAATTGGTCTTAAAGTCAGGAATAGGGTTGGGAGTACTTCTAAACTCGTGCATAATATCGTCCAGGCTCAAATCATCGGACGATCTGCTTTCCGATGACCTGCTATCTGAAGATCTGCATGTCGGATAGTAGGTATCACTCACGTCATCAGACGATCTGCTGCTCGGGTAGAGATTGTCGGGTGACTGGCCACCCGAGGTGCATCCAAGCATATTCAAGAGAAGTTTGCTGGGTGAACGAGTGTCCAGTTTGCTAAGCATTTCTTCGACCGAGCTACGTCGACCACCGTTCATAACACTCTGAAAGTAGCTAGGTGCCATTGGGCTGCTGCCGCTTGAGAGGACTTGTGGCGGACTGTTCGAGGATGATGTGCGCGATGAACCAATTGGTATTGGGCTTGCGGATGTAGGGCCACCCAAGTACGGTTTACCGTTCAATGTTGGGATGCACTGAAAGGGATTTTCCAATGTTTAATAAACAATTCGCCTCGTAGAAATTAAAAAAGCTGTAAATAGCTGATCGACCTTTCTAATTATTTTAATCGATCACTCTTCGTTATGGCGAACACTTCGCGAAAACAATATCAAAAATTAAATTCAATTTACCATTGGGTAAGGTAGCTCATTATGATTTCTGGAAGACGAGTGGCCTTTGTACCTGTCCCAACAATAAGCAAGACTCTCGGGCAAACTATAGCTTCTGTGCATATGATCCGGACTACCATTGTACTCGCTGGCTGAACTCCCAACAGGACTAATGTTATGTTTTCTACTAACAGCCAGTAATCCTTGTTTGATACCATCCACCAGTGTCATGGTGGCATCTGCATCATTTTGCCGGTTAGTTGTCGTCAGTTTACGCGGCACTGGCAATGGCTGTCGTTGTTCGCGGTTGCCGTTGTTCGATCTCCCTCGATTCATTCGGCTATTTCGGCCTCGCCAACTACTACGTTGGCGATGATTACTTGCGTTGTTGCCAAGACTGTTAGTTTTACTATTATAATTCATGGTGCAAACAACTTTGATGGTGTGGGAGTGGAACAACTCTCACTCAGCGGCTGTGTCTGGAATTAGATAGTACAAAACACACGTAATTTTCAAGTTTTTCGTACTGGTGATTTGAGATGTCTATACTCTCACTAGACACTCGCATCTCTTGCTATGACTAGTATGCATGATTAATGGAGAATTGTTCAAGTTTGGAGGAAATCGTCGTTGCTTTAACATATTCTTGATTGTAATTTTATTAACGTAAGCTCAAATATTGTAGTGATTTTTAACCACGCAATTTAACGAGGATTATTTAAAAATAAGATTACGAATTGTGCAAAAAACCAAATTAACACAATTGCAAAATTAATTTATCAATAATTACACCGTCATCACAACACACATATTCCAAAAACATCACGTATATACATAGCGAAGGGAGTAGTGCCAGACAGAATTAACGTATGTAAACAGCGGGATTTGGTATCAGTAATATTGCGATCTAGCTAGTCGACGTGACTTGTTAGCTTTCGAGCCAGTTAGAAAAAGAAGACGAGAGGAGAGAAAAAACCGGTTCGCACCCTGTGACACTGCACACAAGAACGCGGAAATGGTTAGGAATGAGCAACCAGAAAAAAGAGAAGTTAACCTGGATCTAAGTGCCCAATCATTTTGCCACTCGTGTCTGTATATAAGACAAGTGAGGGGACCACATGTCAGGAATGAATGTCGCGAAAGATACCTTGGAGCGTTGTTATTAATGATTTTATGGAGTGAAGCATTCTTTAAGTTGTTTTGAATTTGCATAACGACAAAATGAAACATATAATTTAGAATGAAAGTTAGCAAAGAATAAAGTTGTTTTCCGTTATTAATACGAATGCAAGTCGCAACAAAGGAAATAAACGTCTTCGACTTTTGTCAAGGAAAGCAATAAAGATCTTAAGTAAAACTTATCAATGACATAACTTTCATCCGTATTACATCAATGTATCGGATACTCTTCTCAAATAAAATGTCGATCAGTAAATAGTCGTTTACATCGATACATCAATGCGTAAACTTTTGTAAAAACGAAAGAAAAAATCAACGATTTCCTATTAATTACACGAGATAAACGAATAACATCATTCCTATATCGCGGTATGCCAAAATGTTGGTTTGGATGTAACAAACGTATTTATCGAGACACTCGAAAAACCAGCCAAATAATAAAACCCAGTCTTACCCTTTTGTATTCGTGTGGGTCCAGGCCATTTCGGTCTGTATGAGAATTTCACGGGTTGGGTATACCCTCAGAGAAATCAATAGAAGTATAAGCGTACGCCGGGGGCTCGCAACTCGGCCTACGTGTGTGCGCGTATATAAGCTTTGCCCTTTAAACTTTCACTTTCGCTTTCGCTGACGATGTGGGCCGTGTCAGTACACATAAAAGTAACTTCGGCGGCCGTTTAATTGCAAACTCTGACTTCTTACTTGACAGCCACGTTTTTTCTCTTATTCTTTTTTTTCTCTTTTCACGATTCGTTGATCTTTGATCGCAATCGTTAATCCGGGCATACAACTGCACCGTAGTGAATATTTGGAGAAGCAAGCTTAGTAGTCTCTAATGACTCCAAGATGTAACCGCACCCCCACCTCGTCGCCGCGAGGAACATCGATAACAAGCAGGGAAAAGGCTCGCTTATTTTTTGTCGGAGAAAAACTTGACCTGCCGCGCAAAGGAGAGAAAAAATCTCCATGAGAGGGAGAGAGACAGAGAGAGGCAAAGAGGATCCACGAATGAAGGAGAATTTTAACGATCCCGTGATTGCTGCGCTCGACAGGCGAAAATGAAAACGTTCATTACGGGGCAATACCCGAGTTTCGCGACACTGTGAAATTCGTTGATCAACGCCGCGAGGTTTTGCCATTCAAAATGAACAATCGTAACTGGCGCGAGGTTGAATTTGATTTGACGTCGGTATACGTTTGTAAACAAGAGAAAGGTGTGTTAATACATTCAACCTGTGCTATCAAATATAGAACAATGATTGTATCTGATTAATTTTATGAAGCTCAGGCTATTTATACGTAGACGTCAATATATTATTTTATATTCGTTCGTTTGTCGGTTAAATATAGCGTTTCCGTTACAAAACTGAAATCACTCTAAAACTAGATACTATCGATGTACTCCAGTGAAGTCCGTCGTCTATATGCGAAAACGACGATCCAATCGGGAGAAAGACAGTCAAAACAGAGAATGTTTACCTGTCCAACACGAAAAACGTAAAAGATTTCCCGAACGCAGTTTTACGGTCGAGCAGGCAACACAACGAGTAGCGAAAACTAAGAGAAAGCGGGGGAAAGAGCCCTTCGGATGAGATGATGAACGGCTAAGCAGCCATGGCCTGCCGGTCGCTTTTCTAACGGCTTTTCTCAATGACAAAGGCCAAGGTCTCCCGCCCCTTCTTTTTCGTGGCGTTTTCGGGCCCCGTAATCCCGAATTTTCGACTATAAATCCATAGAACTTTGCTGAAGGTCAGCCAGTTATTATCGTTAATCATCCATTTTTCTGGCAAACTTACTATCGAGATGAGATTAGAGTTGTTGATCGTTTAAGGAATCGGCTGATTATTGCGTTGGCTACTGCTAAAATGTGCCGAAGTATGATCAATTATCACATTCCTTCGTCACCTCGGCAAACAATTAAAGAAGAAAAGGGAGTCAACGGACCGTCGTCAGCGCGGCGCGTGTACACGCGAGGGCGTCTGCGCCCCCAGCAGAGTGGAGCGACATACCGCTCTCGCTTTCTCTCTCCGCTGGGTGGAAACTGGATTATACACACGGCCGTACGACGCAGTCTTTTTTTCTTTTCTTTGACGCATGAGAGACCGAATTGGGCTTTATTAAGGGACGCCATCTTCGCTTATGTGCGTTTGCTCTACCAGGGATATCTTCTATTTTCATTCGATTTTTGTGCGAATATATTCGCCACGGCAAGTCGACTCGATCGTCGCGAGGGAAAACTGACAAGGTTCTGATGTAATTAGCGACGACGATCGTGAATCAAAAATCCCTCGCCGTCTCTGCCTTCCTTTCTTCCAGCCGCAATAAAAGCAAAGCCTTAATCATCGAACCCACAAATCGGAGATTGTTGTGGCTCTCGCGCGGACGTACTCGCTATAAGCTCGAAGCTCTGTCGACCGAATAAAAATTGAACGAGCCTCTCTGGACTGAGCGAGTGTGTCTCTGTTGCACATCACCCTTGTTTCGACAGAAACGCGAAAAAAGCTTTCTCGAGACTTGTGTTCTTCTGGCGCCCGATATACCTCAGCTGGATGAGTGGATGTCATCGGCACGGAAACGAGAGCGAAAGTGGCCGCCCGCGCAATCGATACTCTCTCACTCTCTTGTAAGCTCTTACATCCGCCACCACTTCGCTTCCAGATAAAAGGCGTTACTTTTCTCGCGCGTTTCGCCGATTGTCCTTAATGGGCAAGTTCTCAATTTGCGTCGCGGAGAACCGAACCGCCTGCTTTAAATTTTCAAAAGTACAAACTGCCTCGCCTTCCTGTTTACATCAAACGCGGCGCGCGATCCTCTTCGATCTCGTTCTCGCGCGCTGCTGCGTGTTATTGTTTATATGGCGAGAGGTCACTTTGTCGCGGGATGCTCTCGACCTGATATACCTCGCGACGTACAGAGGATTTAAATTTGACGTGTTCAAAACTCACAGCTCCGAGCGATCTCGTTTCGACGAATTTCCAAACGAACGCCTCCTCTTGCAGTTTCCACGCGCGTTAAAAAGAAAAACAACAAAGAGAAACAAACGTCTGCGTGCGTACCTTGACTCGACGTACGACTGCTCGGAGTTTCGCCCGGCAGACGTTGTCGTTCGGGCGACTGTGAGTGGAAGACGAAGATGCTGATGGTGTAAGAGGATCAAGGCTGAGGGCGATAAGACGATGGCACAGGTCTCTCTCGCTCTTGCCCTTCTCTAGCGGCCTCGGGTGGCTTTGAGTTCTGAGTTCGCACTGACGCTGGCTTCGTTCACTCGACTGCCGCTCACTCTTCGTGGCTCCCCTCCTCCCTCTCGCGGCGCGGCTGCGTCGGGGGTTGCCGGCAATGGCGACGCTCCGCCCGCACCGCCCGCTTTCATTCAACCGGCGTTGCTGCCCTTCCCTCTCCAATTCCCTCTCGCTCCTCGCGAGCCATATAGCTGCGTAGTTGCTTGCCGGGCTACATCTCTTGCTGGAGATTAATAACAACTGACGTAGCCGCGAATGAGCTTTTTATTGTTTAGTCAGTTGTTCTTGCGGCGGGCAGCCGGTTGGTCGGCTCGCACGTGACTCGTTTGTTATCCTGGCTTTAAATCATCGTCGGATCACTGTCAGTCGTGCTGTCAAAGTAGCACCATATTTTTTTCTATATTTATAACTACAAGTCTAAATGTGGCTTGTTCGTTAGATTTTCATGACCAATATCCGCGATCGCACCTTCAAACTCATTCGCGTAAGTCATAAACAATTGCCGTCCTGCATCAGAACGGGCAACATAAAATACCCTCCAAATTCACACCCTTCATGAGAACGCAAAAACATTAAGAATTTACTTTTCCTCCTCGAAGCTTCCAGTTCGATAACGACACTTGGCAAAAACGTATTTGCCTTATTTGTGGAATTCATTCGCTCTTTCTCCTCTCCAACAAGCTAAATCCCATTTTAACTCGCACACACACACGGGGGAGAGGGACAGTTTTACCCTCTTACTTGCGTATATATAGGGATAAAAAGATTCTCCTCCTGCTCCTTCAACACAACTCTAATACTAACCAAGGCTCTTTTCCTTACTTTATATTTCTCAAGAGAAATTTTAACTTCTGTTGTCGCGTGTATCTATAATTTAATTGTAATAATATGTGATCTGTCAGCGTTGACTAGACTTCTCTCACGATTTATTGTGCCTTCGATGAGTCCAAAATAGAACGATAAAAACACGGGCAATGATAACAAAGATGAGCTTTATCAACAACCTTGACCGTCTCTTAAAAAAACAAAATCACCTTCTCACTAGTATGTATTAGGCGTACGTACGTTGTCTGCCTGTATATCGACATGCAAAACAAGTCTCCCCCCTTATTACGAGGAAGTTGCTCCCTTTTTATCTCGCGCACGCGAGAAAAGTTGTCGGATTCAATCTAATCACGAGGTGAAATTTATTCGCGTTGATGTCTTCTTTCTTCGATTGGCGGTGAAGAGTGAGGTTTGCGCGCCGAGTCGGAATTTTTGAAAGACGGTTGATGGAATTTACGAAGCTCGCGCGGGAAACTGATAAATCGTTATCGCGAGCACGACTACGTGCCGATAACCGTTCTCAAGGGCTTTTCACGGGCACCGCTCGTTAATTTTCGACGAGATAGATAAGGTTTTTCTTCCGGTACATCCTACATTTCACTCACAAGATTTTGCAAAATTCACCGCCTAAATGCGCTCAGAAATATAATATAACTATGTCTCCTCGCAAACCATTGCTCCAGTCTGATCAATATAACAGCCGTTGAATAATCAAGCCCAAAAATATGATAGTGTACGGGGCGTTGAATTATATCCCTCTCGCGTATATTCGCTCGCGGGGAAAAACCGACCTGGGGGTGAGAAGTTCTCAGTAGAGCGGCAGCACAAAATGGACAAGGCGCATGCGCGAGCAAAAGCATGAATGAAGCTTTCGCCGGCACATAGTACGCATACGCTCGCGTGCACAAGCACAAGCTTGCCGTCGCATTGCCCGTGACCTTCGCGAGTATTTGTATGCAGCGGCTTTCGTCATGATACTATCCACCTCTTCCATGTACTGCCAATCGGAGACGGGCGGACAATTGACAAGTTTACGATTCAAAGTAATTGTTTTTCAATGGGATTATGATAAACGCTGTATTTCTAATTCAATAGCTTCGCAGCACAGACTAAGGAGGAAAAAAAGGAACGCGCGTAGTCTTCGGACCTTTTCTAATCAAAGAAAGCTCATCACCCGAGCGTCGAAATTCAAACGAAACAATAGATTTTGTTCATCTCGTCTGTAATATTCAACCATGAGCTTACATAAAAAACAAGCTCGCGAGGCTTATAAAACTTTATGCTCGCCAACATCAAGATCAACACATCCATTTGATATCGCGATGATATGCCTAATGCAAGTTACGTCAAGATTCAACCAGGAAGCTTCCCTCCTCCCATTGGTAAATTGCGTCATGCGCGTTGACCTCCCCTACCATTTTCACACGCCTACGTGGAGGGCTGTAGGCAAACGTATGCGTGCAGAGCCACCCACAGCATTTTTTAAATTCTATGTTCACACGTGAAGTTTGCGGAAATTTATCAGTCGAAAGAAGAGCGCACGGAAAGAGATTTTCGCAGTTGTTCTCGTTTGACTTGGCTATGATTCCGCGCGCTCTGTTTTTTTTCCACCAATCACCCTGTACACATACATAATTCTCACTCTTAAATCACATTTACAATACTTATTTACTCCGGAAAGGGATGATTAACTTATTTTCGGATGGCAATTTTGTTTCATTGGATATCTGTTGTTGAGTGGATATTAAAACTTATCAAAGTCCGTTACTTGTTTTAAGAAGATAATCTTTCGATATTTTCGATTATTTATACAAAGCAAAAGAAAAGCAATTACTTCTATGTTAATTAAAAAATGGACCTAATAGCAAATAGCAAGCCCAAGAAAAGCATCTACCTGAGTCCTCGAAAAACGATGACGTTGCCACGTCCCACCTCTCTCCTTCTCCCACTGTCGTAGTGAAAAAGCCCGTCAATGAATGTCCCCACCGTCGCTTGCAAGCTCTCGCGCTTCTCATTCAAGAATGTGTGGATCTACGTCCGCCTCCCCTCCTTCGTAGGAAAAGCGCTGCATCATTAAAAACGAAAAATCGCGCGCGAGCTCAAGTTGGGGTGGGGTAGTGTGACGTCCAGTTTTGCTCAGTGCCCTTGGGGAAGCAATGTCAGGGTTCGAGCCACCCACCCTTGAACCCCAGCATGTGCGCGCGCGAATCTCTGCCCCCCTCCCTTTCTCTCTCTTTCTCTCTCTCTTTCTCTCTCTTTCTCTCTTACTCCCCCCTCTCTCTTAGTCGTGCTCGCCTACGTAAGCGAAAGATGTCGGATCGATAAAACTCTCCGAGCGAGCGAGAACAATTTTCACTGCCGGGAAAATTATCTCCCGAGATGATGATGAGTTTTTTTTTATCTTTCCTTTTTCTAATACCTTTCTGCCGTAGCTTCGAAGCTCGTTAAAAAAGGGAAATTGTCGCTTACTCAGGATGCTTACAAGATTGCCTAGGATTTGTACGTCAAAGACATTCTATAAATAACAAGCGAAGATATATAGTCCGATATTTCAGTTTCGCGACTGATTCGATGCTATAATATTTCGTATATAACCATTTTTAAACGCGCAGCCCTTATACGGTTGCAGCAGTCGTATAATAAGGCTATAAGCTCGCAAGCTTGAGTTGGACATGAATAATCTGACAACATCGTCACGAGGGCACGTCATGTCTAACACATTTTGTCAAGTAGACAACGATATCTGCATTCTATTCAATATTCTCGTAATGAATGAATCAATATCTCATGGAAAAAAGAAGACTCGGGCACTACACGTTTGTAACGCAATTTAAAATATTTACTAAGAAGGAAAAGGCGTACGCAACAATTATTTGTTATCGTGAATATTGAAACAGATACTTATCGAAAGATAAATCTTTCTCTGTACCTTAAAGAGAAAGACATTACAACGAAAGAGTGTACATCTAACAAACAAATGAATGTGGCTTGATAGTTTATTGGCGAGAGCAAGAGAAGTAGCTTTTATTAGAAAGTGTGTAAGAAAACTCGAGAGGGCACGTAACTGGGGGTTCGTTTTACGAGGGCTGTGATTTTTAATTGACGAAAGCATGCTCAAGCAGAAACCTCGTACAGTTGTAAAAATACAATATTCGGGGTAAAAATGTTAGCCCTTTTACGCCGAGCGTAGATTCGCGACAATTCCAACGCGAGCAAACGGACAACATAATAAACAAGCTTTCGGAAACGCGCGCGGACGTTAACAAGGTCGAAAAGCACGCAGCGATGTTCATGAATGAGTCCGGCTCGACGACGTCACCTCGGTTTGCGTAGGCGCTCCAGCCTCAGCGGTGGGAGCATCTACCCCCACCCCTTTGTCCAACTACCAAGCCAACGGTTTAACGATCTTACTGTTGCTGTTTCCTCACCTCGACTCTTGTCGCGCGTAGACTGAGTTTGAACCCCTCACCCCACAACTTCAATTAAAGCTACGTGCATGCTGCGGTTTCTTTACCGAGTCTTATCTGCGTCATCGAACAACATAGATAGATCCTTTATCTCGGTATCGCTGGCCATAATCAGTCTTGTACGTATCGCACAAGCGAAGAAGCTACATTCATTGTCGCACTGAACAAAAGCAGCTATTCCCAGAGCGGCACGGCGAACGAAACGCAGTCGCATCTGCTGCGGAGCCGGTAGCTCGTACATCTCCCTCTCCCCGGAAAATCTGCAGCGGCAGGAACACGCCAGCGTCACGTGAACACTCGGACGGACTACAGCAGCAGGTGACCGTGGAACTTCCAGCTGCTGCCTGCTAATTCTTCCGCAAGCCTGCGATGACGTCATCGCCGCGATCGCGTCTATTTTCGTTGCTGCTCTTTCCGCTAACCACAATCTGTTCGTGTAGCTAGATTTTCTTTTTCGTCTTCCTCGGGTACATTATTTGCCGACAAAGCTTCGGAACGTAGATGAATGGTTGATTAATTATAGAAAAATAAATATAGCTGCGGAGGGTACGCAACGTGCTACTTAGCAAAGTAAGCAACTTGTTCAACGAGAGCATCGCCCAATCGAAATCGGTCGGCGAGAAAGCTGATAAGCTCTCGGGCAACCGAAACATTCATTGTGCCGGAACACATTGCAAAGCTCATCGATCGCTGCTATTTTTCGATTGACAATACGACCGGAGAGGAGAGAGTGGCGCGGCTAGCAAACAAACAAACAACAAGCCCATAAGACGACCACGACGACTAAGCGTTCAGTGATCTTCACCTATAGTATCCCTCTTCTTCTCGCAACGGAAGAGCGTGTCTAGACGTGCGCATGTGCCGTTCGCATAGGTGGTGTGGAGCTTTTCAAGGTCGAGCCAAGAGCGCGCGAGCGACGCCCCGACTGAACTCAAAACGCGCGCACGTGGGACAATGTACTGCGATCTCGCGACTTATGCGTGTGCATATATACCCGCAAAATCTCTGTGAGAATTCTTAATTAGCTCAGATTTTGCAAGGGAAGAGGGGCTTTTGTTCCGAGAGACGTTATTTTTTTTCTTTTGAGCGTCGAGCTTTCGAGATTGATATTTGCGAGGGCTGGCTGAAAACAATGCAAGTCTTCTTTTGTTGGAGTTTCATTTTTTCGTTCATTAGGAAGGTGCTGATCGTTGCAATTTCAGGTGTAATGAAGCTTTTATACATTTAATCGAGACGCTACTTCAAAATTCACTATACAACGGAACCAATCCAATAAGCACTAAAACCAATCAATAGCCAAGTTAAAAAGTAAAAAATCCAGACAAACGCAAATATCGGAGGAAGAGAAAGTTTCTTCGAGAAGGGAAGAGCTGCGTAGCCAAAAGAGCGGAGAGAGGAGAGAGAGAAACAGCGATGCCTTCTAGCCATTAGCACTAACTCGGAGAAGAAAAAAAAAAGGGAAGAATTTTTCGCCGAGTAGATCCGATAATCTCTCGTTGTCTTTCGCAAACACCTGAATTATCAACGCTCGATTCGTTATTTTACTCGCGCTGTTGACTGTCTTCCTTGATAAGATTTTCACGTAGTTTGTCGACGGGGGGGGGGGGCGAAAACGATCGAAATTAGATGAGGTCAACAGAAAACTCCTCTCCCGTTCTTTCTGCCACTCTGTAGCGCCCTTTTTCCGACTTTTCCGAATCATCCACTGAAATTTGTGCTACACTTCTGTTTGTCGATCATCGTCTCTCTCTCTCTCTCTCTCTCTCTCTCTCTCTCATTGATCTCTCTCTAGGACAGATACGATAGGTCTGCTAATTGACCATTCCGTTTTACAATCTCGATAGCGATCTTTCAGGAAAGTAATGCATAAGCCCGTCGTACAAATAAATCCTTCAGATCAACGAAACGCAGGCAAGGTCGAACAGGAATAGGAAAAACAATACTGAGAGCGGAACGCTTCAACGTCTTAACTGTATTTCCTCCCCTCACAGCGGAAGATGGATTAGCGCTCGTTGAGCTCCTCCCAAATACAGGCTTACAAGCCAGCAAGTGCATGCTAGCAATCGGGTGCAACTGCACCGGCGAGACACCCCGGGAAGAAGGCTATACTCGACAAAGGATGGCATACCAAAGGACGGAGCGAGTGAGTCATTGCCAAAATACACATTTTCTGACGAGGGTTGCGCGGAATGCAACGCGATCGCCGCCAGTTTCCGCCATAACATTACTGATTTGACGAAGTCTTGAAGTATAATAACCGTTGATACGATTGTTACGTACGATTGATAAATGCACTTGTTGCAAAACTTGCAAGTAACGATCTTCAGCGTCCTTTCTCTGCGCCGAAGCTTCGCAGAGGACTGACCAAGGGATCCAGCAGAAAATTGGAAGAAAGCAGACGTATAAACGAAAAAAGCATCGGGCGGAATAATGGTGTCATAAATGCTATGCTGCATCTGGAGGTAGCGGCAACGGAGGGCATGCCACTTCATTGTCAGCCTTTTACGACCGCAGCAAGAGCGAAATACATCGATGCTTTAGTCTGTCGTTTGCGAGGTCACTCTCGTCAGTTTGCTTTGTTTTTCTGGAAGCGAGCGAAGAGGTACGGCAAGAAAAATTAAACTTTTCTTATGCGACTGATGGACGGCAGGGAGGGAGGAGTAGAGACCTTTTCTCTTTCGCTCATTCTCTCGAGGAGAAATAATTTGGAAAGAGAGACTTTGCGTGTGCTTTTTGTCTTTCGGTGGATTATTTCAAGCTACCCTTTGTCCCTCTTGTTGATAAATGGAAATATAATTTATTGTTCAAGTAAATAGCTTTTGCATAACGTTTATCGTCTCGACTTAATACTAATAAACTTTATTTCAGGTAAAAACCCATTACAAATACATTAGCTGCTTATTTTCGATTGGTTAAAGTGGCTAGCGAACGACAATTGTTTTTTATAGATTTATTATTTTATTTAAGTTTATTGTTATTTTTAGATTCCATGCACAGGTAGATTCAAGAGTTACTTGTAATGATTGGATTTTGTTTATTCGTTTTGAACTATTGTCTACAATAAAAATACAATCTTTATTAGCAGGAAAACAACCCGATGTCACATATTCACCATTGGTAAGAGACCCACGATAAAATTTCGGATGATGTCAATTGAACGATAAATAGTACAGGACAAGTAAAAAATACAGAAGTTTGGAATTGCAATATCTCAATAGCCCAATTCTGGCGGTAACGTAACACCGTAGAGTTTATTGGTAGGGATTCATCGCGACGTCATACCTTTTATACGGAGGAGAAGAGACCGACAAGGCTCAGACTTGCTGTCTCGCATTCAAAATACTTTCGATGTAAAAGATATTTAGGATAGGTAGATCTACTTTGCGGCACAAGCGCCCCGCTCTCTCCGATACACCCTGGACTGAAAGAAGGGGAAAGATAAAAGTTAGTAACTCTATTATATAATAAAAACCAACACGTGTCAGAAATATTAGCGGCTTCCTTTATTTTAATTGTCCACGAAAGTTTCCAATTTGGTTCTCCATGAGCGTAGCGCAGTTTTGTATATGACTTTTTCTCTTTTAGACTTCATTTCCTTGCGAGATTGAAGGATGCCTAATGAACACAAACTTTTTCTCATTATTGTCATAATTTTCTTCTATCTAATGTTTTCGACTATAACGCAATACAATCCTAAAAAACAGTACATCTTTTTGAAAATAACTTTGAAAATAACCTTTAAAAGTCGATTTTCCTCTGAGTTTTAGGTGTCGTAAAGTTTAGAGTCTATGGCTTTTTATTACTACTGTTTTCGAGATTACTTCTGTGTTGACTACGATTGTATTGAACTATGATTGTTCAAATTGTCCAGACGGGTCAATAAAAGTTATTAACAATTTTATTAAATAAATAGTCCGTTCTAGTTGGTTAAGAGAGATGCAATTAACAAAAAAAAAATAATAAAAAATAATGTTCAATCAGCTACACTTTAGTAGGCATCGAAAAACTATGAGTTAAATCATTTTTTTTATCTGTAATAAGAAATAAAAAATAATGTTTTAGTAAGTTTCGAATAAATATAAACAAAAAAATTTATTTATTTAATAAAATTATTAATAACACTTTATTGAGCCATCTGAATAACATCCAAATTCAGATGCAACATACTAAAAACGTAAATAACAACTGTCTTTTCGCGGGAACTTATTAATGTATCGCGAAAGCCTTCAGCGTCTGGGCTTACTGGTTTCCAAAGAACTATAGCTATGTTGTAAAGAATTTTTGTATGTTTGCAATTTTTTTCTAATTGTAAGATTTTATACGTGTGGTTTTAATAAAAATTATATTTAATATAATTGACTGCGGTTTTAAAAAAAGGATGAAAATTCTTCAGCAACAAATAAAAAAGCTAATACTTTTCCAAAAGAATTAAAGAAATAAATAAATACTTCAATGTTTAAGTTTCGAAGTATTCAATAAAAATAGAGGCTTTAAAATATTAATAAATTAAAAAGATTGATAAAATGAAGTTTTTTAGATATTGCCAGCGACATCTGTTGAAGAGTGAATTTACAAGGTGACGTTATCTCTCGTGGTAACATGGGATTCTTATGGAATCTCAGAAAAAACTCTGAATGTTCATAATTGTACTTATTTGTACTTATCCATAGTACTATGACTACATAATTTAATTAATTTATTTTTCAATTAAAACGCAGAGTAACACTAAATCAGACATCGAGTTAATAATTAATACGCAGTAAAATTCTTTAGTAAATAAATAATTAATATTTTTATAACTATTTTTTATTTTTTTAAGCTTTTCAATAAAAATGATGAAAGTTTAATGCCACAAAATAAATTAACACTTGTATAAAATTTAAAGCTTTGCGATAAACGAAGATTGACCTGACAAGTAGCGACCTCTAAATCCAAAATCATCTGATTCTGTATAGACTGTATAGAGTACTAGTATAGAGTATAGACTATAGTGTAATCTGTAATAATCACAGATCGTCGTGTGTCCCGGTAGATACGCACTTGCTGTCCGCTATACTAAACTGCAACCATGGCTGCTCGTCGAACGATCAAGGCAATAAACTGGGCACCCCTCGTTGAACGTATACACGAGTCGGAGAAAGCCGCCCTCGCTGCACTCAAGGCCAAATCCGATCAGTATTTCAGACGGTAAATACCAAAAATCATTTGGCTCTCCATCAATTTCGAGTTATGTAATTTGCATAACCTTCAAATTACACGACATTCGTTACCTTTATTTTTATTTGGCTTTGTTAACTTAGAGGTGACAGCAAAACGATCGTTGATTGGAATAATAGGGGGTTCTTTGATGATAAAAGTTTGTTGTTATTTGTAGGGTAAGTGAAAATCCAGAGAGTCTACCAAAAATTGACTGGGCCCAATACAAAAAATATGTCTCGCCAGCTCTGGTTGACAAGTTTCAAAAAGAATATGAATCTTTGAAAATCGAATACCCAGCTGACAAGTATACCTCTTTGATCGAGGCTCAAGAACAAGAGGCTGTGAGTATCTTCAGTGATTTGTGTTTTTTTAATAAATGTGATGTTACTTAACATTTAAGAAAGCTTTCTCAAGCAAAAGTCTAAATATATTTATTGTTTTATAAAACTCTGTTTAAAATAGTTCATGATTATATTATTATCAAATAAACAATTTTTATTAATCACTTTAACGTGGTTTTCATCACTGCAAATTCAAAGTAAAATTGTACAATATAACAACCATTTCAAATTGTTTCTCAAAACTTTTTAGTTATTATAGAGAATAAATATTTAATAATCAAGTCAATTTATAATTACAGACAACTGTTGTTCAAAAATTCATCCAAGAATCTAACAGCCGAATTTCAGAATTTGAAGCAAAAATCAACAAGCTAAAAGGATTGATGCAATACAAAAATATGACTATGGAAGATTTTGCAAGAGCTCACCCAGATATGGCTCTTGACCAGATCAATAGACCAACTATCTGGCCCCATGAAGAGGAATTCCAGCCAAACCCTGATGCAGACAAAAACATTGCACATCATTAAACATAATTTAATATGTCGTTATGCTTGCTGTAGTCAAGAACAACTCTGATATTTCTTAATTAATATTACTGCAAATCTGAAAATAATCCGAAATTACGGATATCTTGCAAAAAATCTGAATTCATAAGCTCAGTGGATTATTAAAAATAAATGTTATTTAAAAAAAATTTACATTGAAATCTGTTATTTTTATTTGAAATTGATACAAAGCATATATTCCCTCTCTTGTCAACAAAATATTTCAGCAATTTTAGAAATATCGGAAGTAGCGACATTACTACTGTTATTTTTATGTACAAGTGAGGCAGCGCATTTTTTAATCAAGCTAAACAGAAATAAGAATAAAAAAGAGAGAAGGTATTAATACAGCATTCTAATTTAGTAGGTGTCGGTGTGAGAATGTATAATGATAAAATCGATCGAACCTCAGTGCACTTCGTCGCCTTGCTTGGTGTGCACGTAATCTGTGGCTGTTTTCACGCTGTACATTCCTATCATCTGCACGTATATATGTACACGCCGCCCACACATACACTCATACCGCCCAAGCCCATCACTTGCTATAACTATATTGGAGCTCTTGCAGGAACCAAACGGCAATCACGGCACCCTGGTGTTTTTTTGAAATTGGAAGCTCATCTTTGCTTTCTAACGTTGGTAAATTTCTGTTTTTATGAATTAAAATTAGTTTTATAATTTCTCAAAAATTTACAAATACAACAAATAATAGGTTTATGCTTTAAAATGCCATATTGCGAGTTATAAAACAATAATTAAAAGCAATTGGAGTTCTGATGTCTGTTATTGTGTTGAGAAAATATTTGGCTTAAAGCTGTATTACAAATCGTAAAAAAAAGTTTTGCACACTTTGTAATGAAATATTACATACTTAAATGTTTTATTTATCTTATCCAACGTAATTTTCAGTCAACTTCTTGATCGATGCTTGAATCCTCTCTTTGTTTCTGATAAAAATATAACCTAAGATGAGAATTTTCCATCTCTCGTCACACGATCAGCTGTATTTTCGCAAAAACAAGAAAAAGCTTCTGAAATAAAACAAAGTTCTAATAAAAGTTTGGGGCACCATCAGCTAAGTGCGGCCCTAAGCAAGTGTGTGTAAGCGCGCGTACAACAATGCTTCCACCACAGTGACAGAGTGTCGAATGGCGGCTGTCAATTGGTGGACGTCGGAAGTCTAATCGTCTTGAGGTGAGGCTACTTTGGCTACTGCTGCTGCGAGATATTCGCCGCCGCGAATTTAATCCTCGAGGAAATCTGTGAATTTCGTCGTTAAGCAAACTAAGGCCAATAAAGCCTCGGCAGACACAAACGAACCTTCAGCAGTATAGACCGCCGACTCCCGGCGACCGACCGCTTCTCTTGTCTCTCTCTTCGTTGATTCACGATCGAACTAAGAGCTGCTCTTATGACATCCGGCAAGGAACCTACTATGGGGTGAGTTACCTGTACTTAGCAAGTTTGTTTTCATGAAATAAGCAAGTAAGTTTGGTCAATAATTGACGTAAACAGAAGGTATGTGATTGTGTGTGTTGCAAAGGATTTTTTTTATGCGGATGCTCGTCTCTTATTCTTCACGCGATAACGAGAACTGCTCTATATATGGCATAGTAATTGTTTGAATTATGAGGAGGATGGTGCCTTACGAGGCTTGTGTTACTGTACAATTAATGTTAATAAATGAAAATTGCCGAGGGAGCATGTATTAACTTTCATTGGCTGACATTCCACAACATATTTTGCCTCTATCTTGTCTTTTAAAATATCTTTTGGTTTTGCAATTTGATGTAATTGATTTTTATTTTTTCCACTTTTTAATGTAGTACACTTTTATTCTGACATACCTATTATGTTTATTTTTAAATATCTTAATTCACTTTCCTTGTACCATTTTCAAAATATCTCATTTATTTTTAAATCCTAGTTAAATTTATTTGAGTCCATTTCTGACATTCTTAGATGATTTTAATCTTTGAAATTATTTATGCTCCATAGGGAGCAGCCGATCTTCACGTGCAAAGCACATGTTTTTCATATTGATCCAAAAACAAAACGATCATGGGTTTCTGCATCTACAGCAGCAGTTTCTGTATCATTTTTTTATGACTCCACGCGTAGCCTTTACAGAATAATCTCTGTAGAAGGCAGCAAGGTTAGTAAAAGTGTTTATACTAGTAATGTTTTTTTCAAGAATTAAAGTGAAAACTGATAACAAATTTTATTTCAGGCTGTCATAAATAGTACAATCACTCCTATGATGACTTTTACAAAGACTTCACAAAAATTTGGACAATGGTCTGACGTTAGAGCTAATACTGTTTATGGCTTGGGATTTTCATCTGAGAGTGAGCTACAAAAGGTTTGTACTGCTAATGATTTTAATTAAATAATTTAGAATTATGATGGTTTTACATTTTATTGATTTAATTTACAGTTCATTGAAAAATTCAATGAAGTTAAAGAAGCAACAAAATTAGCTGGATCTAAAATTCAGACAAATAGTTCTTCTGTTACTCCTGCTACAAGTGCTAATGTTAGTCCAATCACAACTCGATCAGGCATGCCTTCATCGGATCAAGATCTCATTGATCCTCCAAATTCATCAATGATGAACTCAAATATCTCTACTTCTAATAATCAAAATCCAAATGCCAATACAATCTCAGCTCAAAACAGCATTTCCTCGGTGAGTGGTAGCCCTCTTCCTGGCAAAGTGGAGGATGATTATAAAAGTATAGTTCATTCAAGATCTCAAAGTATTTCTCAAAGTACCACTGACAGTCCTCAACATCAAGGAAAAGCTCAACAACAATACAACTTAAATATTAGCAGTGCTGGTCAAACAGAGATGCAACAACTCAAACATGAAAATGAAAAACTCAAAATGGCACTTGCACAGAGTTCAGCAAATGCTAAAAAGTGGGAGGTGAGTCAAGTACTCATGAAACTAAGATTCTAGTTGTTTATAGTTGTTACATATCTTTACCATACAATAATTTGATGTATCTTTTTTCAGATTGAACTGACAACATTGAAAACAAATAATGCTAGACTGACAAGTGCACTTCAAGAATCTACTGCTAATGTTGACGAATGGAAGAGGCAGCTACAGCTCTATAAAGAAGAAAATGCGAGAGTAAAAGCTAAATATGCTGATTTGGAAGCAGGCAAGATAGCAGAAGGTAACTGTGAGGCCTTGAGGTTAAGAGTGGAAGCTCTGGAAAACGAATTAAGGACAAGGAATGACGAAATCAAAGCTCTTACCATGGCAACCAAAAATAAAGATTATACGGTAACATGCATTAATAATTGTAGAAATTGAAATACTATTGTATAATGCATAAGAGTACAATTAAATGTCTTTTTCCGTTTTAGTCTTTGCAAAAAGAGAATTCAGAGCTTCGAGAAATGTTGACCGTCGTTCACGAGCAATTAGAGATTTCTATGAGCACTAATAAAGTACAGAAGCAAAACTTGGAAACGTTAAACAATCGGCTATCAGGATATATTCAAGATTTGGTCACGGTGCATCGAGAAATTACTAACACATTGCAAACTTAAAGCAGCCTTAGGTAATTTTCCACTTACCAATTAGATGCATTGCACAATTCGGTAACGCGATGATCGTGCGTGTGAGACAAATTATGTTCAAAAATACCTATTGCTGTTACTTTAAATATTTAGAATATTATTGAAAAAATAATTAATTTCTCATGTTGTATAATTGGTGTACGAAATTCGTACGTAGTCATTGACTTTTCCCTCAGTGTTTAGTTTTTAAAATTTTCTTTTTTTCTACAATGTTTTCTTTTTGATTTTTAGAACTGTCTTCCAATTAATTAAGCAGTTTCTAGTTTTGTAACGATTTTCCAAGTGAAATTTAACATATCATGTATTTTCATTTGGTCAAATAGTACATCGATAGGTATTTTTTGTTGCGCGTTGTTTTCTATAAATGGAATCTCAAACTTAATAAGAGTTATCATTAGCTTATAAAATATGCAATTTTTTGGGGTAGTCACAGTTTGCATGCGTATGTGTGTGCGTATCTGTGTGCGTGCGTGCGTGCGTGCGTGCGTATGTGTGAGTGCGTGTAATTTTTTTGCGTCACAAAATAGTGTGTAAATATAAGCTTACACTTTCACATCGTTTGTCTCTCACAATTGATGAAAAAACAAGATGAATAACACGCAGCAATTGACTAGAATGCAGAATTATACGATCGACACACATAATTCATGCCAACAAAGTAGCCAAAATTTTGATAGTTTTGCAGTATGAAATAATTGTTTTTTAAAGAATCTAATGTAATCAGACTAAAAACTCATATGCGAAGCGTTTTCATCTTTTCAATTTTACACCTAAACTCTATTATACCTTAATAGAGTGAAATGAACAATAAAACATTATAACTCAGGTGCATCTAGGTAGGGGTATTGAGACTGCTAGGTGCTAATTAAGATTGATTGAGGGATAACGAAAGTGAGGGAGAAAAATAACTGTAACTGTGGAGAGCAAAGATCTTATTATAATGCCATATTATAGATATTTAAAAGAAATAATATTTGGTTGCATCCTTTTCTTTGGGTAGTGTTACAAAATTAAAAGTAGAATGCAACAATGTTATTGATGCTGCTTAGACTGAGCTATTAACGAAAGATAAAATTACGTTAATTGTTGTATAAGTACCCAATCATATTAATTGTTTGATAGTACGTTTTAAAAGTATAGTGTTGAAGTCTGTAGAAATCTTTTAAATTGTTTCCCTATAATGATTACAAAGATCATGCAACTGACGAACAAAAAGACAAAGAATAAGTAAATTTTATGCAATGTACAGTTTGATATTGCATTGATTGCTTTGATATTATTATGTATCTCTCTCAATGAATTTTACTGTGTTAGTGAATATTCGTGCTGTAATGTCGTTTTGAGTACGTACACATTCAATGAGCCTTATCGTGGCAAGAATGTTTTTAAATGTATCCAGGATATTGCTTTTTATGCATGTTACAATGAATGTCCAAGTGTACAATAACAAACAAAAAAAGTATAAAGTAAGTTTTATAATTGATAGATAATCGATAAGCATGATGGATTAGTACAAGTTTTAAATGAAAATGATGCTATTCTGCGTCAATGCACGGACCAAGATTAATTAGTGAAAGCAACAAAAAAACAAAGTAAATGGCAATTGTGGGTAATGGCTACCATGACATTTTTATTCTAGCCAGTTATTAACTCTTAATTGATTTTATTTCTGGACGTGTTAGGATTCTCCATTAATCAAGCGAGTCTTTCCTTTTTTTCTTTTTCTCCATAATCTACAAGCTTCAAAGGAAACTCTAAGACAATAAATTCTGTTCCCCAGTGAACTTTTTTGCAATGCTTTCCATCAACTTTGTGTACCGAGAGACATCGATTTTTTCTTACTCCCCTTTTTACACAACACGTTGAATTTATATAATGGTTACGATTACGCCAAGATATTTCTCGAAACGAAGTTGATAGTTCCTTTGTGCTCAAAAGGCGTGCAGACACGCGTCCCACTTGAGAATAGACTTGAATAATGAAAAAAATTCTCTCTCAGCATTTGGTTCATCGAGGCTTTTCGAAACATATATGAATATATATATAAGGATACTTTGTAACACTAATGAACTAACAGCAGTATAGTATTATTTAATTGGGCAAACTGCAACAAAAAAATGTTAATCCCAACTTGTAAGAGCCTAATTTAAGTTATCCAAAGTCAAAGATCAAAAGTAAATAAAAATTAAAAAAAACATTAATTGTAGCTTTGATTTAAGCAAGCGTAGAATTTGTTGAAAAAGAGATGTATAGATAGAGTGCACGTTATGTTTTTTGAATAGGAAACGTAGGTCAAAGAAACAAAAAAGCTTTCGTATTTAATTAAAATCACGTATAGCAATTATATCGTGCTCTCTGGATTTTAATCTCGTGTTACGCTAACAATGCTGTTTTTTACTCATTGTTTCGACGTATTCATAAATTTGTGCGGGAGCGCGAAGATTACTAGTTTTACGTCACGATGTGGATTCTCGTGGAAGTGTGACGTAATAACAAATCTTTTGTAATCAATAAATTCCTCCACTTATACGAGCACAAAAGAAAGGAAAAAATGTCAACGCGAGAAAAATGTAGAGCGTAGTATAATAGCAGATAATTTTATCAAATATTTGAAAGAGGAAGGAAAAAAGGATCCATGATATTACACACTTTAGTTAACCGCGAATTTAGATGAAACCTTTATACGTACCTGTCAGATGTATTTCTGTTGACATAATTAGTTGGAAGTTACTGCAGTGTTTATAAGGAGGCAGCAGCGTTGTAATTACGCGCGCGCGCCTCTTGCTTTCAATGACGCCGAAATGCCAAAAAATTCGATTAACTTTCTGGCTTTAACATGCAATTTTTGCCCTCCTTCGCCTAATTGATCTTTGCGATTAAAAGCTGTAAATTGAATTTAGCGCGGAAAGGAAAAACACGTTCCCTTTTTATAAGAAGGAATATAGAATCGAGGTCAAGATTACCAACACCCCCTGACCGGGATGTACGTGTGTGTGTATGTGTGTAATTGTTATAATTATTGCAGTTGTTCATTTCAATTGGGAATGAAACGTCAAATTACGCTTCAGCTCGATTGTTTATTGAACTTTCGAAGCTGTAAGCACCGACGTCCATGTATACACACGTAAGCTACCATTGGCAGTCGTTGAGATGCAATTAATTTTCAGTTTTGTTTCAGGGGGCTGGGATTGTTTGGCTAGAATGAAAGGTTTATTTGCAGCGCGCGCGAGAGCTAGTTTACTTTTGCTTCGTAGGCGGAGTATATAGCGCTCTGCGCGAAATAACGTTTCGCTTGCTCGGTCAACTTGAACTCGTAAGTAATTTGGGGAATGAGCTATTACGCGGTGTGTAGCCAACAATGCTCTACGTATATATACTTTTCCTTTTGATCTGTTTTTCAGCTGAAATTACATTCTCTGTTACAATGCTCGACTGCCGCTTCTTTGTTGTGCGTCATTTCATACGACGGCTATATAACTAATTATGAAACTTGACTCGCTGTTGCTCGTCTAAAAAAAAATAGAGAAAGTGAAACTTTCAATTCGAATAATAATAATAATGTTAAAAGAGCTAACGTTTGTTTATTACTTCTCGATGCTCGATATTGGCTTTTTAGTCTGAGCGAAAATGGCGCTTTCGTCGAAAATCAATTCGGATGGAATTTTTTTTATAATCGCATTTTTTAGATTCTAGTGAATAATAAACCTCAGTTTTCCGGCGGCTAACGTGGTCAGTATTTGTTTAAACTAATTTTTTTTTAAACAAATGATTAATATTCGTTTTTCCGTCTCGAAAAAAATATTTTTCAATTAATTGAATCATTTGGAACAAAAAAGATTGTTATTCATTTTCGCCTAAAGTTGATAGTTTTCGAGTAAAAAATTATTAAAAATCGTAACAATTCGTAATTTTTAATGGCAAATGACATATATCTAAATATTCAACCTTTATATTTTCTAAAAAAAATCAAAAGCCCAACGGCAAACCCCATTTTTGGGAATAAACATTTATTAATAATTTAATTGATTAAAATTAACTAAACTCACTTTTATTGTATGTGACATTGCGTCGAAGCGGTCGATTGAGCACCCGTGCTGCATTATTATAAATGCCGCACTCGCGCGCTATATGTTTATTGCTAAAAATGGTGTTTGCCGCTGAGTTTTCGATTGTTTTTTAGACATTGTAGAGCAAAGTTGAAAGTTCAGATATAGGCCATTGCCATTCAAAATTAGTTGTTTTTTACGTTGATGGCTTTAAAAATCGCATAATTGGAATTTTTTCGATATTCAATAATTTTTTACTCGAAAACTATCAACTTTAGATGAAAATGAATAACAACCTTTTTAGTTCCAAAAGATTCAATTAATTCAAAAATATTTTTTTCGAGGCTAAAAAATAAATATTAATCATTTGTTTTAAAACAATTAGTTTAAACAAATACTGATCAGGTTTGCTGCCAGCAAACTGAGGTTTATTATTTATTAGAGTCTATAAAACGCGATTAAAAAAAGAATTCCAGCCGAATTAATCTTCGACGAAAGCACTAATTTCGCCCGGACTATTTAGTTTTAGGGCCAACATTTTTCTCTTTTCGCACTGCTGCGAGAAGTAGCTATCTAAATACGTACTCGCTAGAGTTAACGGTGAACGTCACGTCTCGGAAGAAGAAAAAAAGAAAAAAAAATGAGCGAGAGAGAGAGAGAGAGAGAGAGTGATCATAACTTTTTTGTCAAGTTGTGCAAACAGATGCGAAAACCATGAGACCCATAAACCCCTTTGAAGATGACCGATGAAAGATTAAACTTTTTTAATTACACGTGTTGAACAACGCTTTTAACGAGCAGTTGAAGCTTGCAAAAAAAAAGCGAGCCCGAGAGAAAGAGAGAAAGAATAAGAGAGAGTAGACGAAACAAGAAAAGCTTTGAACGGGGGAGGTAAGAGAAGTTTATCTTTAGCCTCTTTACTCGCTCGCTCGCAAGTGATTCTTTATCTTGTGGGGCAAGTGGTCGGGCATTAATTCACCAACATGTCTTCATCTGAAACATAATGGCGGTTGCATGTTAAAGCCAATAAAGCGCGAGATCCGCGCGCCGTAGCATTGTAAGAGAAGCGATGTAATAGTTCCTTTTTACAACAAATATGTAGTCGTCGCAACGATCGATTTCGTTGTTTTTTTTATATATATATACATACATACATATATACGCATTGCTGCACGACCTTATGAATGCTCACTGAAGAAAAGCCGACAGGTCTGTTTAATGTATCTCTGCCAACCAAAAAATAAAGCAAGAAGAATGGGTGTCCGTAAAGTTTGCATTTACAAAGATCTTTTGTGTATTTTTTCTTCTGTGCATGCGAAACAAACATTTTCCTGATAACGAATGAATGTGTACGTGTCAAAGCATCCAGGCTTTGTCGAGCGAGCGCGAATCAGCAGCGAGCTTTTCTTTTTCATGCACATCTCCCAATTATCGTTTCCCACGAGAGAGAAAAGGGGCATGTAACACAGTAGGCCCGCTTGTCCATATTGCAAAGCCAAAGTGTTGGCCCGCTCTACTTCCTACGGCTGTTTTTTGCACCGCGCGCGCGGGTAGTAATTGGACGCCACTCGCCACGACGACGCTCGAGAGGCTTCTCTTTTCTTTCTCCGTTCGTCACCACAGCCAGTAGTTAGTTCAGACTTGGCGGATAGATCAAGAGTTTTCGTTGAGGGACAAAAGAAAATGGCATTGCTGCCTTTGCTTGGATCCGATATATATCGATGCATTTATCAAGTCACACGTTCGCGCACGCAAGCAGAAATAGAAACACTTGTTTTTTAACGAAGCCTCCGACGTCTAATTAGTGAGCGCGGGAGTCGTACTGTTCACTTCGTCCTTTTTCTTTGCCCGCAGTGTATTTTCGTTGTTGTTAAGTGCGCGCGAATTGTCACGAAGCTCCGTTGTACGCACACCACACACACACACATACTCGCGCTTGCTGTACGGCAACAAAAAAATACGACGATACTGACTTTTATCCTTTTACCTTCACTGCAACGTCTGTTTCTGTATATACGTATGCAAGCGTGCATATTTATATATAGGTACACGTCAGTCGAACAAATGGTGGCCAGTTTGTGTATGTTTTCCAATTGTTATTTCATATGTATAGGTGCCAGAAAAAGGCGGCGCGTTTGTACATGATATATATTACGACATAAACATCGCATGAAAAATAAAAAAATAAAAAAGAGGAAAACAAAATAATTGTATTGCGAATGCGACGTATGCAAAACATGGATATATGCAATGTAGATCAGAACACGCATTTATAATTTAATTAACTAGTCAGCGCGCAGAGATTAAGCAAGCGAGTGAGAAAGAAAGTTGATTATCATGATCGTCATCACTGATAATCATCGTCGTCGTTAAATTTAGATTTTAAGAGAGACAACAAACAACAAACGACATCACAATTATTGCGATGTGTGTGTAATTATTACAAGTTTTATGATATATCGTCTCACATGAACTTTTTCTTTCTTTTCTTCAAATAAAAATATTGTATTGTCTGATTATTTCATTTTCTTCGCTCGTCTAATTTATATATAATCGGCTGTTAATAAAGAAAATATCGTACTTTTAGTGATGTTAGTGATGCTTTACTCATTTCACACACTCAAACTCACCCTATCCTTCTTCTCCCTACTGATGAGAATACATATAGGTCATTAAAGTTCTAGGGTTGCCGACGTATATTTTTACTCATCCTTGTGTCGATCGCTTCTGCGGTCTTAGATTATCATCTTTTTTTTCTTTTTGGCTTGCCGAGTTTTCTGAATTTATGTTTTAATAATAGCTGCCGTATTCTAATAACAGACACGAGCTCAACGGATTTAAAGTGGATTGGTCGTTCAAATGAGAAAATGCGATTTTAATGAGCAGTGTATTTAACGAATAGAATTATCCGTTAATTATACTACGGCGTACGAGATTTTGTCGTAAAATTAAAAAAGAAGAAATTTCCATTCAATTTATGTAAAAAGGAAAAGAAATTGGTATGAGATAATTTTATGCTGACATGTAAACTACTATCCCGTGTATAATCAAAAACTAATCTGTATTTCAAACTAATTGATAAAGAATGTGGTTTTCAGCTGAATTTTCCACTTTCATTGTCTCGCAAAAGAATATGAGGTTGAATATGTAAAATTAGAGTAATTTTTTTCTCTGTGAACAAAACGTGACCGAGTTTTTTTCTTTTCTGCAGCGAGGTTAGCTACCTTATAATTTCCTTTATTACTAATATTTACTTACGATATTCCGCCGATAGAATTTTTTCCTAACGTAATAAGGGGTGACATTTTTCCATTAGTTTCTACATTTCTTTCTTCAGGTCAATTTAATTCAGCAAAAAAATAAAAGCCGCAAGACATACATTGAATTGAATTATGCCGTGACGAGCAAATCCTATATATATATATATATATATATATATATATATATATATATATATACACAAAGAGAGTAAAAGCAGATAAGGGATTGTAAAAAATATATGAAAATTTATTGTGTTTCCATGATAAGATTCCGATTTACAGAGCAAATGGATAACGATGAGGAGAACGAGAGAGTAAGACTTCAACTTGGCGTATGGATGAGCTTGCAGATGGTAAAACACAGCAACACTGACAGAAGAACGTGACCATCGACAGGTCGACCATTTAAATTCGCATTGGATCGATGCGAGTCCTGAGTCACTTGATCACCTGTGAAAAAGGTTTTTTATAGTACCAGAAATGAAAGAGCGATCAGCGATCGAATGCTTTCAAGACTTTTATACATTCGTTAGAGTGCCAAAAATAAAAAAAAATCAACGGAAAGACATTTTTTTCGTCTCGTTTGTTCTCCATGAATACTTTAAAATCCCTCGAGGGTAAGCTGTGTACACTTGCCTGAGTCTTCTAACTTCCCCTCGACGACGTAGCCCGACTTGTAGTCCGTCTTGTAGGCCTCTTCTTCCGGGGCTGCAATTTTTTTTTCATCAAACGAGAATCAATGGGTCAGCAGCGTGGCCGAGTTATTTTTTGCCTTTAAAAACTTTGAAAAGAAGCAAGCGGGAGTAGGAGAGGCTTCTTTTTTCATCAGCGGAATTTCGTTGTCAACGCTACTTGCTGAACTACTCTTTTTTTCAATGGCTCTTTTTCTTTTGGACACACATACGCGTTATTGTGCACTCGTTATGATGGCATTCAGTTGATGTGAATGCCGTGTCGCGGTTTTTCATTGGTGAGTTTGATATCCTTAATAAGAGGCATGAAAAACAAATTAATAGAGTATGTATCCAGTTGTTAGTGAAAAAACATCTTCAAGTTTGATAACGAGTTTTCTTGCTCGTTTATCGTTTTACTTCTTAATCGGTAAAAGTGAAATTCGTATTTAAGCGAGCATCGGTAAAAACAGCGTAGCTAAAAAATGGAATTGCACGCGAAAATCTCAGAAAGCCTTGTTTTCTTTCCGAGAGATTCTCTCTTGTTACGATTTAATCTACTAGTCTTTGTTCCAAGTCGATCGTATGAATATTTCACGAGCAAGACTTCCGGCCGAAAGGTGAGCGTAAGTTATGGTTGAATATTTATGAAAAGATGATTGATTCTCTCGATGCATAATTGCGTTATGTTTATAATAAAGGAAGCGCACGGGGGAAAGAAAAGGGATTTAAAATTGTTTATACGAAGATGTATAGCAGCAACATATCAATTTTAGATTGCCCACCATGGATAACTTCTCTCCCGCGAGGTAGGTTTAGAACAAAAGAGAAAACTTGCCTGACGTGCGGAGCCTCCCTCTGTTCTCCGAGCAAACTTCCTCCCTCGAATCGACACTACAGACGCGACTCTAACCGTTGGTCAGATTAGAAAGTTGACAAGAAAGCAAAAACGATACTTACGGGCATCCTGTCCAGTAGAGAACCTGACGATTTTGGAAGGGCTGCTCAGGCCAAACTTATTCCTCGCAAGCACGAGAGCTTCGTATCTCATGGATGGCTGTAATCCGGTCAGATTGAACGAGTGAGCATGTAACGGTCCAGCCGCTTCTTCGCTGCTCGGGATGATCAATCGATGCCACTCCTCGCGGCTATCCAACTGTTTTGTGCCCGAATAGCAGTTGCATTTGAATCATACTGTCGCGGATCTATGCGATTTTCATATTTCGCTCGCGGCCACGTAACAGACGCTTAATTTTTCTTTCTCCCTTGTCGTGATTACTATGTTGACGCGCCACTGATGGATTGCGTGTTTCAGTTACGTTTTCAGAAGGACAAGAAGGAAGAGCGACTTTTTTTGTCGTTCGTGCGCGGCTTAATTACCCGCCTGATAGATTGTACGTTTTTTTCCACCGAGCACACTGGACTTGCCGTTAATTATGTCTACGGCAGTGTACATAACAATGTATCATTGTCAATAGCGCACCTGGGTATAATTTCATAATGAGATAGGCTGCGTTCCCATTGAATAAATTGATTTGATGTAAAAACGCAATTTGATTTGAAATCACGAATGGCGCGTGTAATGAAAGCGCGACGAAAATTTTTCTCCCGAGATAATGTGATTTGCAACTTCAAAGCGAACAACTGCGCAGGCGTTTAATTGGAAACGCGCAACTGTTTCCAACCAATTGCAACTCGTCGCCCCTCAGCGCGCATACGTCATAATAAAACACGCATAGGCATTGTAACGTTGTAAGCTTTTGTCTCGGAAAATATCCTATGTCGGACTCACGAAAGAGGAGGAACTAGCCCAGGAGCAAAAAGTGAACAGGATACAAGACGGCGACGGGGGGAGGAAGGCAGTAGAAAAGCGTTATCGTGCTTATTAGCTTATCTCGGGCGGTGAAGTGTAGAGAAAAAATCGATGCGCCATCGCCGCGAAATAAGGCAAAAAGGAAGAGCGTCTTTTCCTTGTCAATCAGTCACTCGAGATAATGCCAACGAACGAAGATAGATATATGCACATACGCTTATCGAGATTGGCGCTCGACTCACCTGTCGGAACCAGAACTGGTACTCGACAATGGGACTGTTACTGTCCACTTCCCAGATGAAGTTGTAGCTGTTGCTGGACGAACTTCTCGACTCCTTCTTCAATACTGGCATCTTAGCCAGGGCCGTCAACTCGATATTAGCCTCGGCGCTGGCGATTTCATTGGTGGCGCGGCAAGTGTACTGGCCTAAATCGTGCTCCTGCACCGTACGTATAACCAAGCTGTGCAGTTGCGCCTCGCCCCGGTCTTGCTTGTATCTCAAGGCTCGTTGCGAGCGCGCCAACTTCTCGCCCTCGTACAGCCATTCTATTTTGGCCTCGGGAAACGCCAATACTAGACAATCCAATTGAGCACGTACGCCTGGCGCACTGTGCACCCACCGCGACAGCGCCGACACTTCCGGCTTGTCTGCGAAAACAGTAAATCGGCCGTGCAAACCTCTGGACATCCTATCTCGAGATTTCGGTCCGCTCCCCCCGGAGAAATGCAAGAAAGTTTACGGAATAAGTGACGGGAGGCCCTGAAAAGGTCTTCCCTCCTCTCCCCTTCTTTTTAAGAGCTGCTTCCTGTTTGACAAATCATTTCGTACAATGGCTAGGCGGACAGTTTTGAAGAAAGCTAATGGCCGTGATTTGCGCTAACTCGATTATCATGCGCCGTTGTCGTCGTCGTCGTCGTCGTCGTCCTGCCCGCGTGGGCCTCTTTTCTCATATGATTTCATTATGTCGATTGAGCAATTAAGCCATACACGAGCACGCATTGTGCGTGCATGCGTGCGCGCGGTTTATTTCGATCAATTAACTGGCTTTCGCCTCGAAGAGAATCCTCTTCGCCGGATCGCGGTTCCTTTCGTTCTCTCGCGAATCGCGAGGAAAAAAAGGGGGATGAGCTGCGTGAAAAGCCCATAATTCGATCCAACTACCGACACGACTTACGGCTTCATGCGCATTGCCTTTAAACATTTATTCGCTGACAGAGCGACAAGGGCGGGGGAGGGGGGGGGGGGGGGGGGGGGGGTGATCGATGGCTGTAGACGCCGCGCGCGATGCTTCATTAAAATTGAAAACTCACAGTGAACTGCACTATGCATGTATATGGAAATCACTGGGGTATAAAGGATATTAAAGCTTTTGCGAAAACTTTGCGCACAACTTTGAGCGAAAAAAGAGCGTGAGAGAGAAGTTATGAAAGTCAAGTAGCCGACATTAAAGCTCGTCGCAAAAGTTGGACTGATTTATCTGTCGGATATAATTAACCGAGGGTCTATATAAAGACAGGAAAAAAGCGACAGACTCACGCTTAATCTTCAATTCAATGTTGGCCTTAGCGGGTTCGCCCACGCCATTGCTCGCCTCGCACGTGTACAGTCCAGCCAAGCTCCTATTGGTGGCATGAATCCTCAGCTTCTGGCCAGACGCGAGGACCGGCAGCTCCACACCTTGGAAGCTCCATGCAAGTACGGGCTTGGGCACACCTTCGGACAGACACGTCATCACGGCCTCCTCGCCGAGTGCAACTTCGATTTGGCCCGTTTCCGGGATTGGTTTTGCGCTCGCTGGATCTGTGCAAAGTAAGCAGACACGTCAAACACGTTAAGTCCGAGCCAGTCGGGCGTGGGCACGCGCGGGTAATCGGAGAGCGCGAGCATTGCAAGCAGGATGTGGCGCGGATGCGCCGGCCGTTATCGAGGATGCGTGTTTTGTTTGGCGAGGCGCGCGTGCGTAGGCAAGTTTTGACGACATCGAGAATGGGAACGAGCAGCGCCACTCGCGATTGATGCCCTTTTAACGAGCGTAGAAAGAGCACCGAACGGACCGTTGGCGCTTTTAATTACAGCTGGCTGCTCGTACATCCAGCGGACGATTCGCGATAGCTCTCCGCCGTGGAAAGAGGCGAGGGGCCAGACGAAAGATTTGATTTTATCTATTGTGAGCGCGACAATGCGCCGGTTCTAGCGATATTCCGTCGTCTCTCCACGCTAAGCGAGATGAGAGAACGCTCGGATGGCCGCTTCATTGTATCCGAAGCTGCTGCCAAGGTTCGACTCGTCTATTGACATTTTCTCTTTTGTAAACTGACGATGAGAAGAATGGAGATAGAGCCGGAAAGTTGAGCTAATTACCACTATAATCGCGCGTGCTGACGCGTTGACACATGGCGCACACGCGACAAATCCGACGGCTGTCAATAACGACGCATACGTGCGGGTTGCCTTCCACAATTTTTCTCTCCGCCGTCATTGTGCAACGCTTTCATAGACCTTTACCATTCGTGCATAGCGTCCTTTTCTCCGCTCGCCTTTTCCATTGCTTGCGCCACCCATGAGACTTGCCCGGTAGGCTCTTTCTCGGGAGACTATAAAATGTTCGACCCCCTCTGATGTACGCTTACGCATCGAGGGTATCTCGTAAGTAAATCGGCTCGCTGTGATTCTCATGAATTTTTACAGCGAGGCCGGGACTTCTTGCGGGAATAATGCGTGCCAGGCTGTTTTTCACGCTGGCCTTCCAGAATCAATCGGCCATCCCGATGAAAACGAAGCAGCAGTAGATTTATTTAGCAAACAAACGAGTTTTTTCTCGTTTCTTCTCTTCTTATTCCTGTCTCGTTTCGAACTTGCAAGTTTAATTATCGGAGGGAAACAACGCATTTTTCGCTCCCCTTGCTTGCATTAATAACTACGTAATGTTTATTAAGATTTCAGAGATCGGCAGGTTGCAATTTTCCAGAGGAGAATAAGTGTTGACTTTCAACAAGATCCTGCTCTCTGCGAAAATGAAGTAAGGGCCAGTAAAGCCTGCAGCGCGGGACCTTCAAGTCGGCGAAAACCAAGCAGAAGAGAGAGAGAGAGAGAGAGAGAGAGAGAGAGAGAGAGAGAGAGTGAGAGAAAGAGATTGCCGGCTGGATTTGGGGGAGGGAGAAACGCGAAAGTTGCGCACGTACTCACACATGACCTGGATCTCGTGGACCTGGGTGACATGGCCCCAAGGTTCGGGTCTCGTTGCTTGGCATATGTACTCGCCGCTATCTTCCGGGCGTACTTGCAACAATTCCAAGCTCCGGTTATCCCACATCTTGACACGTGGTGACGTGGCTGCTTGCACCGACGGATCGTCGCTGTCCGCTATCATCACGTTCGAGCGGTACCACCGTACTCGAGTTTGCAGACCTACATGCAGGAAACAGCCCAGTTTCGAGTTTAATTTGTTGCGACCATGCCGCTATGTTAAAGAGCAGCCGCACGATTGCTGGAATCGGTCGCGGAGCAAGGATAAAACCGATCAATCGCATTGACGTTCACGTGGACGTTTGGTTGTCACAAGTGCATCGATGTCGAAGAGCCGTACCGCTGCCTTCTACGCCGCTCGCTTAGCCCCGTAGCTGCAACGAACGGCAGCGGAGAAACAAAACGCGGGACACGAATATTTGACCGAAAGTGTGCGTGCGCATGCAAGCTCATCTTCGCGAAAGCTGCACTTCAATCTTCAAGTACTGTCTATCGATCGGCAGATAAAAGCGACGGATACACTCGCGACGATAGTATAACATAATCAATATCCGTAAAAAGGACGCTGTGTGACCTAACGATTGCAGCGAGGAGGCGGAGCTTAGAGTCAGCGATAATAAACTGCCATAAGCTTCATCATTCAAAGTCTATTTCTCTCGAAGGAGCTTGAGGCGAGTAGAGCGAGAGCAGATGGTCCTCAAAATGACATCATTTCCGTGGCAAAGTGAGCCTGATAGATTAAATTACAAGGCGTGCATATTTGCTAAAATCCGCCCAGTGGCCCAGAAAATTAGAAGCTTTTTTTCTCTCCTCTCCTCGTCCTCTCTCCTTCAACATTCTACTCAAACTCGCGTACTTGTATTATGTGCATCTCGCGCGCTCTCTTCCACGCCTCTTGGCCACTCGCCTCTTTTATGTGTTTCTCTCTTGCTCTTATTCTTTTTTTTCACCCCAATGAATTTTTATTCAAGAAAAAAAACATTTGTTTTGTTCCAAGCAGTCATTATTCGTAAATATTTGCAGTCTTGGAATCTGCTCTTCTGTAAGTAAAAAGCCCAGAAGGTAATTGTCAGGAAGCTGATCCACAGGTAAAAAACCTCAAAGATTGTTCCATCTCGCATGTCACCGAGACGTACCACCGAACACACGCCTATCATCCGATCTCGCTTTCGCTTTTCATCGAAACCACTTCGACATTGAGCGCGTATTCTCACTCGACACTTGCAATGTCTCGGATATCATCTATCTAGCAGAACGCGTTCCTTCGGCGCAAAAGAGACATCGAACGTCGTTGGTCAAGTCGAATGAAATCAATCATCGTGAAAAGGGGGAAGGAGAGGAAGCCGTGGATCTGCCAAAGTTGAGCACTGAACGCCCGGAGGCGTCGGCAGCGCCCGACGCGGCCGCCGCAACGGCGAGAAAATAAAATTGGGGAAACCGGAGTCGGTGGTTGACTCGAGTTTCGCGCTGTGCCATCGAGAGCCACGGAAAAAAGGAGAGCACCAGAGGAGAAAGCTCACCGAGATCCTCGACGTGACATGGCAGCAAGACAGTGTCGTTCTCGTAGGCCTTGACGGTCGCCGCGGTGGTGGTGGTGGTGCCAGTGGCAGTAGCCGCAACGTAGCCGGCGGTCAGCAACGGCAACAGCCAGCGAGCGAGCAGCGGCTCGATCGTCATCGCGCGATCGACTGAACACCGACACTGGTGCAATCCGTAATATCATTCGTGCGCTCGTCATCGTCGTCCCACTCTGCGCGACGGCATTCTTCGTCAATTTCTCTCCTTTCCATTCACGCACCCGGAGAGCGACTCAATTGATGACACACGACGAGCGAGAGAGGGGCGCGCTCGCGCGCGCCTACGATTCCCTTTGACTCTGCGGCCCATCTCTGAAACTTTAAAGACGTGCGCTGCTGAAAGGATCGCCTCCGGGGCTGCTCTCGTCTCTGCATTCCGAGCCGGCCGACCTCGCGCAATCGCCATTGCTTTTTCATGCGCCGCTGTGACCTTCCCCTTTCTCGCTCTCTCGCCAAGACAAATTTACGAACCGACGCGCTCATTTTTCAGCTGGTCGCGTAAAGCGAGCCAAACCACTCGCGCTCTCGGCAATGTATTTATCAAAAAGTTCTAAACTCGAGTTTAATGAGTGCTCGATCTCCTCTCCGGAATCGTTGCCGTGGCCGTGCCATCGGCAAACCTATCCTCGGTTTATTATACGACCTGTGAATAACTGCTCCCTTCAACTGTACGCTATACGGTTACGACCGATTGATTCCGATGCGACTGAGGAGCATTAACTAAATGAACGAGCGGCAGGCCTGCATCGGAAATTCGGCCTCGAAAATTTCGCCCTACATTTTCGTTTGTCTATCGTTCAACAGCCCAGCACAGCCGTCAAGGCGCGCTCGTTAAATCATTCGATGCGAAAGAAGCGAAGAGGCTAGCCGTGTGGTCTTGTACGCGGTAGCCGACGAGGGTAAGAAACTTGCCGAGACGCAAAAGCACGGACACGTTCATTAAAGTAAACATAGTATTTCAAGCTGAATGATTGGCAGCACGGAAGTAGGAAACTATAAGTGGGATTCTCCGCGCGCAGGCTGATCGATGTTTCACAATCGGTCATTGGCGGCGACGGGGGCCGAGGGAGGAGGGTGTCTGCCCAGACCGCGAAAAGCCCTGTAATATTTTCCAGCGATTACTCTCTTTGACGTTTTCTCGCTAAGGTGGGTCGATTTCCATCACGGCCGAAACTTATTAACCGCGCCTCCGAAAACCCTAGCAAAACTATACACGCACGACCAATAAATAATCATTGACAATATGTGCGCGAGAGCGACGATCGTTCATTTTATCTCTCTCTGAATTTCTGTATGGTAAAGCCAAGCACGTGATACCGAATCCTAAAAGCATTCGGGGATATAAGTTTTCGCCGAGAGCAGAAAAGGGGGTTTGGGATTCCGGAGCTTGCTGCTCTCCCTTATCTATCTATGTCGTCGGCTGGAAAGAATAAAATATCCTCGCGCGCACACGAAACCTCGAGACCTTTTCAGCTGCATTTCCAGAGATACTTCCAACTCGCTATTCTTTCCTTCTTCTTACTTTCGCATTTTATTTGAATAATGCCACCGGTTGCGACGGATCTCTCTTTTGCTCCATTTCCCCCCCTCTCTCCCCCTCTCTTCCTCTTTCTCTCTCTCTTTCATTCGCTTTATCTCGCGAACGCTCATCTCTGTGCGCGCGCGCGTAATGCGCGCTGCAAGTGACTGCTTGACGTTAAAGTTGCCAGTTATTCGGAGTATGTTGAATATACGAGTGCTAAGCGGGGCTCTTTTTTCGACATTCGCCTGAGTGAGAGCGTGCCGCAGCGATCGATAAAGGCATTTCGAGTAAACCGCAGGAATCGTCTTATCACTTTAGTCAAATCGACGGAAATCCGGCCGTCGTCGCGCTAAGACATCTTCGAATTTGCCATCGGGACATGGCATAGCATCCAATTAGAACGCTCGAAAACGTGCGTCACGTCAAAGCTGAGAAAATTGATGGGGAATTGATCAGCTTATCTTGGCTTACTCTTTCTTTGTACTATGGTAAAAAGAAAAAAAAAACAGAAAAGAAAGAATGCTTAAGCGTACAAGTCGAAGACTCTTGATAAGATCAAAATCTTTACATCGACGTCTTTTCATTCGAGAAAAAGGATTTGGTCTGCACGCCAGGCCTCTTTCATTAAGACGTGCAGCGCGTAATGAAGCTGCAAGCTCGTTATATTTCAGAGATAATCTTTCTTTTGAATGGCCTAAGCTCCATTTTTCCCTCTCGCCGGGAGAGTCCCACCAACACATCGCCGTCACCGTGATCGTTATCCCGCGGGAGAGAAAAACTCCGATATTTATGGAAAACTAATTGTCGTGAAAAAACCAAGCGGCGCTTATGAGCCTCGTTACAAAAAAAATAAAAAAGAGGAGCACGCGCGTCGTGAAACTTTGGCGAGCTTGCGCCGCGCGCTCGCCCCTGAAGCGTTGTCACGCGGCGCACGTGTTGCCGCAAAAGTGAAAACTGCATGGCGCAACTGCTCCCGTTGCAACGAGCAAGCGAGATATAAAACGGGCGGCGCGCGAGCGAAGAAAGCACAGCTGCCGCCGGCGCGACTCGCGAGCTCGGCCGACAGACGGCCGTCGCGATGCCGGTGTTGCGCGCTCTCGACGCGAAACTTTGGGTCCGGTTTGCGGTTCGCAGCGGCAAGTGACCATGCAGCGCCAAAAACAAAGGATGAAATCTCGCGAGGTCATAAGAAAATGAGAGCGTGCGTGCCCGTCTCTTCCAGCGGTGTGTCTATCGCGAGGCGTGCAGCGACGGCAGTAGTAGCAGCGACTAGCGTTGGTAGTCGATACGGACATGCGCGCGCGCTGAGAGCTTGCGCCAGCGAGGGAGTGAGAGAGAGAAAGAGAGAGAGAGAGCGACGCACGAGGGAAGGCAGTGGTCGAGCGCGCGCGGACTTGTCAGTAGCGAGCGAGCGGCGACGACGAGTGGAGATGCGCGAGCAGCAGCGACAACAGCAGGTGCTGGATAAGCAGCAGCAGCAGCAGCAGCAGCAGCAGCAGCAGCAGCAGCAGGAGCAGGAGCAGCAGTCAGCTCGCGAGGACGCTGCTGGGGACTCGCCGACGGAGCAGCACCAGGACCGTGGCGGCGGCGGAGGCGGCTGCAAGTGACGCGCCAGTTCCTCGAGGAGTAGGCGGCTCACCCTCGAGGCTGCTGCTGCTATCGTCACGTCGATTGACCATCATGGGGCTTCGTTGTCACGGCGCGCAAGTCAAATCGCCAACCATCACCATCATCACCTCAGGCGACGGAGAACCATGACCAGCGACGGTGCCAGTAGCGTGCAACCTGGGAAAACATGCCACGAGAACGAGACTACCATCGCTGCCGTGAGTCTCTCCCCTGTCGCTCCTTTCACCTGTTCTTGTTCGCTCGGTATCCCCCAGCTGCATTGAAACGGTGATTTGAACGATGTCGCCCATCCACGATCATCCGCGCGAAATGGTCGCATCTACCTCGAGTACCATTTAGGCAATCTCGATGGCGAGTTTTATCGCGATCGCTCGTGCGCCAAAGAGCTTTTGCGCTCAACGTTTTCGCGGCGAAAGATCTTTTTTCGTGGCAAACGCGCGCACTGCAGGCTGGATTTCGTGAATTTTTAACCGTTTCCCTCCTCTGACCCGTTGTGTCAGCGCGCACAAAGGCTCTCTCTCTCTCTCGTGCGCGCACCTTGCATATTCAATGGTCTCTCGATCTCTCCGTGTCTTTTTGAACGTGAAATCACGCAAACGAAGCAACGCCGACGGACAAAAGAGTAAACGGCGCTCGTCGATCGCTGAAAAGACACTCGGTCGCGCGGAAAGGACGCGGCAAAGTTTGAAAGGCTCGCGAGCGTCGTCGAGTGCTCGAAGCGGCGATGGACATCGACGACGGGTAGGTGGGCGCGCGAGCGAGCGAGAGGGAGCGAGACCGAGATCCATCGTCGGGGCCAAGCGAGCGCGTGTATACAGAGGGATTTCCGCGCGACTTGGCTTTCGTACGCCAGCCGTTCTCTCTATAATTACGCTTTTCAAGCTCTCGCTGCAGCAGCGGCCCAGCGGTAGCTCGTACGTGTGCATCGGCCAGCCACACACGGGCTTGCGCGCGCGTCACACACACACGTACACACTACGAGGGTCAACAGTTTCCTCTCTCGCTCCAATTGGCATACTCACACGTAGCGCGTCCACGGGCGCGTTGCTGGCCGCTCGTCGCACGCGCGACACTCATTGATTGTCATTGCAGCACATCCACGAGATCAACAGCCAGGTGGCTCAGTTCCGCGATCTGCTGATCAGCATCGGCCAGCCGCGCGACTGCCCCGAGCTACGCGAGAGGATACGCAAACTCCGTCGCAGCTGCGTCGAGGCCTGCAAGAGCACGTCGCAAATGGTGCTGCCGCAAATGCGCAGGTATGCGCCACTTGGGCCTGCTATCAGCGACGCTCTCGCGCTCCCTTGTCCATCTCGGGCACACGCGCGGCTTGCCGGCAACGACAAGGCTCGATCAACGAGACGCTCGCTCGCCCACCCTCGTCCTCTTAGCTCGCGCGTCTCTCGTGTTCCAGTTGTTTACACGCGAGCTTAGCGCCTACTCTTGTTTTTCCGGCTTACCGCGTGGTTAACCGACCGCCAGCGCAGCTTTTTCTTCTGTTTTTTCAGCAGGGAGATGGACGAGCGTGCCTCGTCCCTCAATCTGTAGATAATGCTTTTGCGCACCGAAGAGTTTCACGCGTTTCTCGAACTCCATTTATGCGCGAGTAATTTTGTCTTGCACACTCGATCCATTAACGTCGAAAGAGAGAGATATATCCTTTCCGTACACGCTTCTCCCTTTTGTGCCACGGGCAAAAACAGATAAATTATTTCCGACAGAGTTGTATTCGAAAATCCAGCGGCAAGTTTGTTCGCTCGCGCGCTCTCTCTCTCTCTCTCTCTCCCTCCCTCCCTCCCTCCCTCCCGCCCTCCTTCCCTCCTCTGCCTCGCTCTCGCGATCCTGAAAGCTATATGCCTTCTTCCTTCGCTTTCTTAACTTGTAACTCAATAGACTTTGCTCCGTGACCTGTAATGACAAGAAAAACAAAGTCCAATCGAATACATTTTTCGGTCTTATCATTCGCTAGTCTTTCTTTTTTGTCTCGTGTCGTCTGAGCTGCGTGCCACTTGAAAGATGTGTACGTTACAAATGCAGCGGTGAAAAAAACTAATTCTACGCGTACGCTGTCACGCGAGAAATTGGCACGCGTTATCAGCGCTGACACGTTAACAAGATAAAACACAGCACCGCGAAGGAAATACGTTAATTTGCGGGCTTCAAGGTACAAGTGTCCGTTCGCCTCCCCTAACACGCGTCAAAGCCAATTGCCCAGAGCCACATAGGCACACAAAACACAATGGGAGCGGTCGAGCGCTGCCACTGCTGAATATACAGTCGAGCTCGGGGGTTCAGTGTGTTATGTCTGTGTTTATCTTGTAGCGCAATGGAAGCGGGAATACCGGCCGACAGTCCGAACCTTGTGCTGCTGTTTTTCCTTTCCCAGCTGTTTCTGCGCGAGCTTTACAAGAGCAAGAACCTCGTCCGCATCGTCCCTATGGACATGACTGGCTACTTTGGTAATTATCGACTTATACATATATACACACCTCGCCCGCACACGCACACACACATACATACGCGCGCACGTCCTCCTCAACTCTTTTACTTCGATTAACTGTACATCTCGCACACGGGGTTGGATTTTCGTTCATCTTTTTCGCTACTTTTTATTAACGGTTTTGTAATTCGCCTCGTTAGCAACGGAAAAATTAAGAACTTTTCTGCGGAGAAAAAAATGCAAGAGAGAGCGGCGTGACGAGATTTAGGGCAAATTACCGTGCGTTGAAAATTAGGATTAATTTCAGCGCTGCCTAATTAGTGTGTAATTTACGTCGACGTTATTCTCTCTCTTTCAAAAGAAAAAAAAGGAGACTGCACACAACTACGTTGGAAATTAAATGGCGCGTGCATACGTATATACAATTGAGTATAATGTGATTAAAAGCGGATCGTTGTCAATATTAATGGGCGAACGTGCGCTGAATGACAGCTCACGCTCCCTTTCCGCGAATAATACAACCAATATGTGTGACTATGATGATAATCATAAACAATTCAAGCTTTCCAAGCCTCACAGTTGTGTTTTCAATTTGCCTTTCATTCTTATCGTCTCCCGAGCGATGGCGATGTTTTTCGCCGAGTTAATCTACTGTAATCCAAATTGAATTTCAAATCGCGTCATATAACTGGCCGTGGAACGTTGCACTTTGCAATGATCATTTTGAATTTCAAATTAATTATTCGCCATCTCGTCGCGCTAGGAAAAGTGCCCGCGAGCCTCTCATCACAAATTGACGCTCGTCCGTCGCGACGTTATGCATGCGTTATATAACAACTTGGAAATTCAATAAATGTCGCGACCTTCCGTCACGCATACAAAAATATTTACGCGCCTCTGAGCTACCAATTGTTATTTCATTGTTGCTCGGGGCGTCGATACATCAAGTACGCAAAATACGTGGACGCAAATTTAGGTCGAGCGATTGTTGAATAATCTAAAAAAAAAAGAGAGCGTCTTGGCCGAGACGAGCGTCAAATTGAATCTCGCCAAATTGACAAATCATTCGCTAGCGAAAATTTTGCGCCAGAGCTCGATGTTGGAAGGTGCACAGTAGTCGACCACCCAATGACATTACAAGAGAGAAGCTTGCGAGCCATCCCAACGGAATAATTACGTTATTTTTCGCGTCGTAAGGTGTTTTACTCGATCAACGTCACGAGAAATAAAAGAAAATCGACAATTCGACCGGGACGGAACTTTGAATGCCACCGTCCGAGCGACAAAGCAAGTAACCAAAGTAAAAAAAGTTGTCGACTCGTGTTATTTATGCGAGTGGTATATATGTCGAGCGCGAATCAAAGTTGGCAGGGGCGCAAAGTTAGCAAAGTATCCCACACGCAACAGCGGGCAAGAAGACGAGAGAGGCAGGTCGGCTTACACGAGGCCTACGTTTACGAGCGTTCGCGGAGACGATTGACCATCAAAAATTCATGCCCGTTTCGCCGTGTCAATTGATTAGTGCTGCCAGGGCGCTCTACTCGAGGCACGCGGACGCCCGAAAAGTGATCAAGCCAACGCAGCTCCCGCGGATCCTCCTTCCACTCCTCTCTCTCTCACTCTCTCTCTCTCTTTCTCTCTCACACACACTCGCTCACTCGATCCCATCAATAATGCATGCTTGGGCATGCCTGAAACATGTGTGCCTTTGTGTACGCAGTGCATTAATCAATAAACTGTGCGTGTGTGTGTGTGTGTGCGCGCCGCCGCCGCCGCCGCCGCTGCCGCCGCTGTTTGCGTTTACACAGAGAGCAAGTCGGGCCCGTCTAACATCAGCAACGTCATCACGCAGATCCTGCTCTGCAAGCAAATCACTCTGGACTTCAACGAGGAGGAGCTGTGCAGCATACAGAAGGACTCGGAGGAGATCGCCGCGCTGATCGCCGAGCTACAAGAGTTCATGCCGCAGTCCGAAGCTGACACCGGTACGTCTACGATATTTGTTGGGCGCTCCTCCGAAAGACCATCCTTCCGATGATCGTCCGCGGGCTTCTTTTTCAAGTTCGCTCGAGCAACTTACAAGCGGATTACGCTCATGAACCTTTTGCCCGATTTGCCAGTACAGTCCACGCGCCTAATTGAGACGATCGCTCTCACTCGATTATTCCGTTGTTTCTCCGTCCCGCGCCCATAATTTTTTTCTCTTTCTCTCCTTTTTTCTTCATATTTCTCACCAAAGACTGTTGTCGCGTGAATTTAATTGGCCTATTTCCATCCGGGACACGCGCGCACGCGAGCGCGAGCGCCGTGCAGATTAATTGGAATTTCGAAGGGCGAAAAACGCCCGCCGACGCCTTCGCGAGCTTCTCGTTCAGCATCGCTGTTTATAACGAGGCTTCTGTTATACGGCTCAACTTCTTGAATATTTATGATCCCGTTTAGGCTTTGTATTTGCTTGTGTATCGCTGTTAATTATCCCGCTGCTTTAGATTGATGCAATGCACTTGGCGCGCGATAAATTTCGTGCGCGGGGCACACGCGACAGCCGCGAGCAAATAAGCAAGCTCGCGAGAACTTACAGGTTTCTTTCGTGGGAAATTGATCGCGAGTGCAGTTTCGCCACTACCAAATCCATAAATCTTGCTCATTCTCTTTAGCTCTCGGCCGTACATGACGTATTTCTGCCGCGAGAAAAAAAAAGAAATTATGATGCGATTTGCATTTGAAATGAGTGGCCGTATGTTCGTGCTGACTTAAGACTCCCGCACCCATGCGCGTTTAACTTTTCTTTGCTTTCAAAACATTTTTTTGCCATGCTAATCAAAATTATGCGATCTTCTGGAAAAAGAAAACACGCCAGTTCGATACCGCGATCAAGAGCTTTCTTTCGTAAGTTTTAATTAATGCCGCGCGTATCGTTTGCTCGAGTGTAGATTGCGCACGCGTGCAACGGAACGCCGCGGATAAAGTGTAGATGTGAGCGAAACAATGTAGCCGCCAGTATTCCAGAATTAATGAATGTGAAATTGGATGGTTCATATATAGAACTTCGTGTCATGGTGTTCGTTGAGATACTGATAAGCTTATCGTACGTGAACGTCGAATTGTGCAAATTTATATGCGCGCGTGTGTTCAATCTGTCCACAGAGCGACCAGTGGCACTACAGGAAGCAGCGAATCGCGTCGCCCGACCAAACGGTGCCCGCAAGAATCTGCGCTGGGAGAACCGTCAGAATCGTCACCCGTTGCGTGGCACGTTTAAGTTCTTCTGCTGCGCCGGACGCCCAAATTACCTCTGATCTGGTCACATTTGGCAGGCCTCCTCCATCTCTCCGTTACGTCGTTTTCTTATCGTGGGTCTACGCCACGAGGTTAACACGTATATATTCCTATGCATCATTATATCATTACAATATGCTCTTTCAGTCTTTCAAAATCCGCAATAGCGCACAATTGCACCGTACTCTCAAAGTGAAATCAAAACTTCAAACTAAAAAACAAGAAATTAACAACAAATGAATTACGTTATTATTGAAGTTAATAATTAATTAGAGAGATGGTTAGAAAGACAATCCAGAGGCAAAACAAAGAGCAACGGCCAATCAAAAAAACAAAAATTCAGTCAATTGTCGTTCGCAGGTACAGCGAGCTGGATCGATCTATATATATATACACACACACACACACACACACACGCGTAGTTTTTATTAAATAAACAAAACAAAACTACTCTACTGCCGTATGTAGGGAAACAAATCGGGGGACTAACTATATCGATATAATACGACATATCCATCGTCACCTGTTCACTAAATAATTTAATAGACGCGTGTGAGGTACTAATTAGCGACGACGACGAATATGGGTCCAATGAAAGATATGATGGTGATTCTGCGTGTCGGTTCATATCGCATACACTTACAAACACACACACGAGGCGCACATATAGCAACAAACGCGGAAGTCAAGGAAAAAAGAGTCAACTAACGAGAGAGAAAAGAGCGAGCGTAAGCTTTACTCTTTCCTAACAAAATATACATACATACACACACACACACACACACACACACACACACACACACACACACACACATGATTAGCTACTCCGCGTTCTACGTCCAGATATCTATACATAGGTAGCTAATAGAAAATAAAGAACGGAGAAACAGAAGTGGAAAGAGATAAGAGACACTCAATTACAGTTGTGATTATTTATTAGGTGGTTTGTCATTTGAGAGCAAGAGCGAGCGAGTGTAAGGATCGATTAATCAAATAATACAAACCCACATCCCAGTGGAACGTGAAGAGATCTCTTTCGGCGTAATACATATATACACACACACATACACGCACACATAAAATGGAGAATCAAATATTATAATTAAGTCGTAAAGGATAATACGTGATTCAATGAATTATACAATTGTCATTAATACTTGCACGCGCGTACAAATGAATTCTAGATGACTTACATATTATACAAGAGGAAAAAAAAATATATATATATATACCTAGTGCAATAGGATTTTACCACGTAAGAACAGAGTTATAGTATTTTGTGATAAACTATTTAAAAAAAAGAGCGAGAATAAAAAGGGTGCAAGAATGAGAATAACGGAAGGGTGAAAAGGATATCTATACCCAGGCGAATATATATTATTATGTTATGAAAAGCAAGAAATGTAAAAAAAGAAGAATAAGAGAAAAAGAGAGAACTCAGCCGCGCGGGTGCGTGATGCGTATGAAATATCGCGGAAAAAAGCCTTTCGTGCATCATCATCATCGTCATCATCACCCTCCCTATTGTTACAAAGCGGATCGGATCGTACAAGAAAAGAGGGAAAAGAATACTACACGCTGACACAGACACAGGGGCGCGAAGGTACACAGACTCGCATAAAAAGGAGTCGGTATCGCAAAGAATAGCCGTCGTAGCCGGCGGCGGCGATCATATTGGCATTGCACGCGCTACTTTTCTTTTTTCTCCTCTCCTTCTCTTGCGATCGATAGTCCGGAAAATGGCCTAGCAAGAGAAACGACGACAGACCTCGTGAATTTCCAGAGCCGTATATTCGTTCCGACGTAGGCACGTCTTAGATCGACACTTTACGATAACACGTGCCGACAGTTAGAAATGTATATGTAGGTCTCGGTGTCAGCCGCAACTTTGCGCAACATACAAGTCCGTTTCGTTCAAAAATATTGGAGACTTTGTTTTTTTATTTTCTGAGACCGCTGCCGTAGAGGTAAAACGAAAGGCAAGAGAGAGACCAGGAGAAATGTGCGTGTGCAGTATGGTGATGTACGTTAGTGTGGAGGCCACAAGAGATAATTTTGTAGTGGTTATTATGTAGATAGAAGCTGGCCGAGAGACCGAGAAAGCGCAACTTAATTTCTTTGAGAATTTGTCTGCCAGCTGTCGCGCGTGTAGGACGTAATGTTTTAATGCCCTCGCTTCTTCAACCGCTGCTTTCTAAACTTTCCGGGGTTGAAATTTTTTGCGCGGCAATATTAAAGTGCTAATTTCGCCTTCTCGAGCGAGCTAGCGAAAGAGAGACAAATGTTTCGTCTGGGAGAGTTGTATAAATAATGATTTATCATGCAATAAACCTCGCTGCGAAACGCGGTTGTGACCAAAGAAACACATTAAATAACGCATATGCCTTGATAAATCATCATTGTAAATAAAATTTACATACGGTGCAATTCTTCATCTTGTGCTGGTTTATCGCTTGATAACTCATGTGCGTATTGTTTCTCTGCCGTCAAACAATACACATTCACACGCGCAACAGTCAATAGCAACAATTATCAATCGCAATCATATGACAAGGTGTGTTGCGCATATAGCATATAATCTATAGGGCGATTGCTTTCAGTACACTCGAAACGTGCGTGTGTGTCCCTATCTACGCGCAAATAAATTAATTTGTAGCTGAAATTCGATATAGCGTTTGCCAATTTATTAGAGTGGCTCTTTCACGCGAATAAAACAAAATTACTGATACAGTGTTGTTTTTCTCGCTTCGAGGCAATAGATATAGCATCGGCAAAGAAAAATACTTACACCTGGCAATCGCCTCGACCTTATAGATGAGAGGTGTACTCTAATTAAAGCTAATTTCACGTGAATCCAAGTAGAGGGAAAAGTTGAACTGCTGCTCGATGTGTTCTTCTGTACATGGGGGTAATGAAATTCCACTCTATAAAATTAAGTCAACTAAAACCATACGTGAACGAGCATGGTATTGTGGAAAAATAAACACTGTTGTATAGCCGAAGTTATTAAAGACGGGTACTACTTTAATATTAAAACGATATATAAAAAGATATATATACACAAAGTGCGCCGAGCGCGCTTCTGTGCCGAGTGGCGATGTTTGACAAAATACATATATACCAGATATATAATGACCCAATAATTAGTGATATATTTTGAAGTGGAGCTTTGCCTAAGAAGTTGAAGCATAGCTCGAAAAAAAAATAATAAAATAGCAAGCACGTGAAAATAACCTGTTTACTTGAATGCATTTACTGAAGACAAAAATAATATTTCAAGTCAATATTTACTACTACTGTTATGTGTAACGCCTAGTTAAAGTTGAACGACACAAAAGTGACAAAAACTCACACACTCACAGATAGTTTTATCGTTATACTTTACACTCGCCGATAAATATTGGAGAAGAGAGGGTACATGGATATATGGTTAAACTTTTAAAATCGAACAATGCCAAATTAACGAAATATACTTCACACTTATATTATATTATAAAAATATGGACGTGGACCAATAAGAAAAATCTATATCCGACTCACCTGAATATATACGTGCGTGACCACACAAAAGAAGCCGTTATGGATATATATAAATGAAAAAATATATATTCCGTATAGACGTTACTCATTTTATTATATTTCTTAATGATATATAAATGTATTCTTATAACGAACTTTACTTGCCAAGTAATCTTTCATACCATTATACATAATATTGTTCACCTTTCAAATTTCGATTAGTTGCGAAAGAAAACAAATTATTATCAAGCACGCGTGTGGAAAAAAAAGATAGAAGGGAAAATTTTTTAACGAGAACTTTTATAAACGTTGTTTTGAAAAAAAATCTGTGTCATCTGTCGACCAATCAACAGTAAATCACCAAAAAGAAAAAAAAACGAAAACTATTATAGCCACGATCTTTCGTATTCAAAAATCCGTCTTTTCTTCGTCGTTCACTGCAAGTATATTTACCAATGCATATCTTTCGAATTGTAGCACGAAAATAAAAGAAACACAGAGTTCGTTCAATATGAAACGATCGAGCAATCAAATAAAAGTGACCTCATCTACGTTAACTTAAAATGAAGAAATAAAAAAAGAGAAATTATATAATATACTCCGAATTAAAGAAGAAAACAAAGGATGATGAATAATGTACATATTATATGATATATCGAATAAAAAGTTACTGCAAAAAAATCTTGGAAAAATTCTTATTCCCTCTTGCCCTTTCATTCGTTAAACGGAAAAAGAGAAATATATATATAATAACGAAGCTTGTTGCTCTATTCTCTATGGAGAACACACACCAGCGATTCGGTTGTGATTTATGGATGCGTTTTTATATCTGCGCATACGGCATCATATTTCCAGATTAAAGCGCGGGGGCGCAATAGATAAAAAACAAGTGGGTGAACAGCATTCCGAAGCAAGGGAATCATTATTTCGATAATTTTGGCTTTTCTTTGCGTGCTCTTCGCCTCAAGCTTGTCAGTTACGCTTCCATCCGCTTCATCGTCATCGACGGCCAGGACGTAACAACGATAATTGTGCTTCGGGATGTAAATCCAATTCTCTGCTGGCTGCGGCTCGTTAAATCAACTGCAATTTATGTGACCTAGTAATAAGGCTACGACCCAGTGCAACCGTTAATTTTCTCACCCTGGGCCGAGCGTCCAATCGATCTGTCTCTCTCGCGGCCCGCCAAATGCAAATTGAAAAGAATTATACTGCCGGCAATCACGCGATAAATAATGGAAAAGAAATTGACGTCTCCGAAATTAATTCATCTGAAAGTTCGGCCTGGCGATAGTACAGGTCGACTCGACGTGCCGCTCGGTATCAGATTAAAATCGATGTCAATGATGCAGATGGCATTTAGCAGCTTACGAATTGATCGAAGAGAGCTAAAACTACTTAGCTCTAAGTGGTTGGCTGGTCAGTACAAGTTAATAGACATTGTTGCGCGCTCGGCAAGTTTCTTAATTAAAGGCGATATAGCAGGTCGAACGTCGAATAAACTTGGAGCAAAAAGGGCGCAATAAATGTTGCTGGCGGGCAATCTTTGGCTTTTAATAAACTTTCTTTCCTTGGGCGATGAACATCGTGTGCCGTTATCAATGACGCTAATATCCTTTGTAGCGCGCGAAATAAGCATCGTTGTAATACCGCTGTCGTTACTTATAGTGTTTACATTAATTCGTTGTCTCTAAGCATAATAACTACTTTGAGGGATGTTGCAACGCCATACGCTTCTGAGTGTACGTGCATTTGCACGTGGTAATCAAGCTGTAGAAACGGTTCACTCACTCCTCGCTTCAAATACCTAACGAGAGTTGCGCCTGCGTGCACATTACCTCTATGTGTGCGTATAGTAGTACAACATACATCTATCCTCCCTTCCAAAGTTCCACGGCGGTGCAAGCGATAAATATATTGACAAGCGTCTACATTGGTTGGAGTAAGCAAATCAGAAAGTTTGCAAATGTTTTTCTGATTGTTTTGGAACCGCGCCAAATCGCGAAAATCAAGATCTCTTGATTAAAACAAAGCATTGAGTACAATAAACAAGAGACTCACTTTAAAGAAACGCCAAATGGGTTAGTACACTGGAGAAATTGTTCTACGTGTCATAACCTGCAAAAAAACACCTACCGGCGTTTTGTTTATCTTGCTTACTTAATATATTTGACGATTTACAGCTGTGACAAGTAAAATATCCCTTTTACTGTCGTCTATTCTTACTGTGCTCTTATTTTCTGGAATGCAGATGTACAAAAATTGGTTGATTTCTTCTCAGCTACACATTGTTTTTGGAGGCTACATTGGATCCTTAGTGTTCATATTTTTACTCACTGCACTTGGTAATTTGGAATCTGTGTTGTTTGGCAAGTCTTTCCAAATGAAACTCTTTCCCGAAGGTGAATGATAAATACCATACCAATAATTAAAATCAAATCAATATTCAATAACTAGTTAAATTTATTTATTTTACAGTTTTTATATCATTAATTTTCTCCCTTGTTGCATCAGGTTTGATACATCGTGTTGCAACTACAACATGCTTTTTATTCTCAATTTTGTCCTTGTATTATATTAATCGTATTTCACAAGAAACATACTCAGCGCCTGCACCTGCAGTCAATGTTCATACAAAAAAGAAAAAATAAACCTGCTATGTATATAACTTGGAAATATCTTTTACTGTAATTTTGTAAGTATTTGATAATAAAAATCTAACATCTGAGTTTTAAATTATACATATTTACTATCGTTATACAATAACGAGTAATAACTGTAGAATTGGATCAAAAAATTATCATACTTGATTTTCTACTTTTCAATAAAAAAAGACTGGCATTATAGTTCAGGTGAATTATAGCACTTAAAGAGTATTCAGGTGAATTATAGATCTTATGTTGTCTGTGGAGATTGCTTGCTTCTGGCTTTTTCTTTGTGACTTTCTGCCTCATCCTTATCACTGAAATATTCATAAGAATCATCTGAAGCTTTTATTTCATGAGGAACAGGTTGTTGTTTATCAATATTCATAGGTGCTTGTGGGGAAGGAGTAGACCATTGATCTGTTGCAACATGCTTGTAAATAGCCATTGCCTTTAAAGAAAGAGTTTGAAATTAAAAGGTAGTTTCTAAATGCAACATTTTATAAATAATCATCTTATTACCTGGCCTACAAAGCTGCTTACATCCCCAACATTTTTTGGAATAATTAATGTGTTGTTGGTCTTAGCCAAGTTGTCAAATGCTCCAATATATTTTTCTGCAACTGTGAGTGCAGCTGCATTTTTTCCATGCCTATCATCTAAAGAAGCAGCAATAATTTTCAGTCCTTTTGCACGAGCTGATGCAACTGCAAGCATAGCTTCAGCTTCACCATTAGCTTTGTTGATAAATTCTTGTTTTTCAGCCTCTGAATAAAGTTTTTAGAAAGAATTTGCAACATTTTATTTTATTCAATATTTTTTTAAATGTTGAAATTAAATTATTATACTTACCGGAGGCAAGAATTTTTGCTTGTCGTTTACCCTCCGCTATATTAATGTCAGCTTCTCTAATTCCTTCTGACTCAAGAATGGCTGCTCTCTTTTTCCTTTCTGCTTCTACTTGCATCTGCATAGCTTCATGAACTCGTTCTGGCAGTCTTATATCACCTATACAAATAAACAAATAAAAATGAAATTCGAAAATTGATTATGAAGTCACTAATCAAAAACTTACGAATTTCATAACGAAGACAGGCTATTCCCCATGCTGCACTAGCCTTATTTATACTCTCAACAATGCTAATATTTAAACCTTCTCTTTCTTGAAAAACTTTGTCAAGAGATATTTTACCCAGTTCTGATCTCATTGTAGTCTGTGCTAATTGAATGATAGCAAACTCAGGATCTTCAACTCCATAAGATGCCAAGAATGGATCATTTACCTTCAAGTACAGCACACCATCAATGCTCAATGTAACATTATCTAAAATATAAGCCATTTTGGTAAGTATGGCATCATCAAAATAATATTTATTATGATAAGTTTTTAATACCAGAGGTAATGGCACTTTGTTTTGGGACATCTATTGCAATTTCCTTAAGACTTTGTACGTACTTGACTGTGTCGATAACTGGGATGAGCAAATTTAAACCAGGCTCTAATATTCTATGATATTTACCCATCCTTTCAACTACCCATGCCTCAAAAAGAATAAATTTAAAATTTGATAAAATTTTACTATGCATATTTATAAATTTAAAGTAGTTCTATAAAATACAAGATTATTTAAATACCTCTTGTTGTGGAACAAACATAACAACAGTATTGATAGGTGTGCTTGCTTTTTCCCTGACTTGAATTGGAGCTAAAAATGTACCAGCATTTCCGAACTCAATATTAGCAGAAAGACAATTCTATAGTACAAATAAAATAAATACATATGAATTTGTAAATAAACATATAACCGGTTATAGCTAGAATTCGCTTACTTTCAAAGCGCCTACGTTGCGCAATAACCTTGTTTTACTTAACATTGTGTTAAATTTTTAACAGCAATTTGATTATTTACAACACTCTGTTCATAGATAATACTTTGCTGATTCTTTTGATTCAATTAAATATTTTGCAAGCTGTGAATTCATAAGATAAAAAAATGAATTTTACACGCAGTACACACTCGCATCTCATATCACAAGGACATATTCAGAATTCTAACCTAAACCCCTCATGTATGCTCGTGTCGTGATTTGTGGTAATTTGACAGATGTAGATTGGCGTTTAGTGATAAGAAATTTCGTATAAAATGAATCAAACATGAATGAAAATTTATTTATCTTCGTTACATAACGATATAATTTTACATAGCTACGTCCTTTCTGCATCTATATAATGTGAAGTCAACTATTCTTGTATATTTTAATAATTTTGTCTGTAATAATTAAAATATTTCATGCAAACATTGACAATACTACTACATTAGTTATCAACGAACAGACCTTATTTCCTCAACCACATGTCCACGTGCCGGAATTAAATGTTTGGTTTTACGAGTTTGACACATTGTTCAATGTGTGACAACAATTCTGATTCAAGATGATAACTAGTAGCCAAGACAAAACTAGTATGAATTGTGGTGCCATCTGTATTCTGCACGAAAAGATTTACTAACAATAATTTAGTATATATTTATTTTTAATCTTTAATAAAATATTTCAAACTGAAAAAAGCTGCTAAAAAAGTCTATCGATTTTTATGCAATATCCACTTTCGTTATTCTAGACATTATCAGAGCCTTCTTGTAAGAAAGCAATATTATGTCAACAATAGCTTAATTTTACATTTCTCGTACACTGACACCGTGAAAAATTATCTGAATCATGAGGGAATTTCTAAATAAGAGCTTTTGGACATCGGACATCGGACATCGGATATTGGACGAATATTGAAATAAAAAAATTAATTGATTGTTCAAAACAAAATTTATTTTTATTTTATGAATTATTGTAAAATAATTAATTCAGTTTTACACTTTCATGTACGTATGGCGTCCGATGTCCGATTTTGTTCTTATGTAAAAAGTCCCTTTATTGGACTTATAATATCTAGTCAAATATATCATATATAAATAGTTTATATCGAGCAAATAATATTTTGATTTAATACTTATATCAATAAATAATGTAATTTAGTCATCAATTATCAAATGGAAATTGTCGAAGTTTAATATATATATATAAAAGAAGCTTGATTGTTCGAAATAAAATATATATTACATGTGTATAATTGGGGCTTTTAAATGTATTTCAGTTTAATTTTTTTTCTTTTTTCAATTGCATTTATTATAATAGAAAGCCATCATAAGAATTAATTTCACGTGCGCGGCTTTTATAATTTATTAATTTTAATATTAGTTTTATTTTCTAGAACAATTTTAACCATCTCATCTAAATAAAATAGCTATTATTTTTTGCTACAAAAGGTATATTTGAAATGTAATACTTACGGACTGAACGCGGCGAACAGACCTTATACGAAGCGGGGGAGCACTGCAGCGTGGTCGAATGGCGTCCTCAAGGCAGTCAGGGTAGTCAGGAAGTGATCTCGTATAGAGACTGAACACAGAAACACTACATTGTTTGAATGCCTCAGAATCTTGTGTAAATATCCTAACCTAAAAAATTTTGTAATACTTATATTTTTTACTTTGTAGCGTTCAGAAAAATAATATCCAAAATGAATGATCAAAAAAAGAAAAAAGTTAATCTTAAGTTAACTAAAAATGTAAAAACTAACGAAAAATCTAAAAATGAAAATGACTTAAAAGAAAATGAAGATCAGTCTTTTGAACTGAACAGTAAAAAACGAAAATTAATAGTTGATGATGATAATAATAATTCTTCTACAACGAAAAAAAAGAAATTTGATAAACGTTTTTTCAAGCAACCAACTGCAGAAGAATTGAATCAACTAAGTGAAACTGAAAATCTGTTTCATTCAAATCTATTTCGTTTACAAATCGAAGAAGTTCTTAAAGCGGTGAAAATACAGGACAAATATAAGAACCTTTTTACTACGTGGTTTGAGCAATTCAAAAATCATGTAAATGCAATAAAAAGTGAAAATGAATTTCAGGTAAGGTGAAAATAAAGATTTGTGTGATTTAATCATAGAGTAACATTCAATAATTTTTTTAGTTGATGGACGATACATATTTTGAGAAGTGCAATATCAAAGTCCCAATTACAAAACTACCTAATGATTGTGTAGGTATTTTCAAGTACATACCTCCTTCAAGTATTATTGTTGGAGGATCATATTCATCAGATACTATTATCGGACCAAATATTTCAATTGATATATTTGTTGAAATGCCTGAAAATATGTTTTCAAAAATAGATAGTAAGAATTATAGATATATAAGGAAAAAAGCTGTATATTTAGCCTTCCTTGCGAGTAAGATAAATGAAGAGATTGCTGAATCAAAGTCTTTTGTTGGAAATCATTGGAATCCCATTCTAAAAATTATACCCCAAGGAAATTTGAATGAAAAGATGATTGTATATGTTCATGCAGCAGTTCAAGAATCTACTTTTTTACCAAATAAATTTACTGCTGAGAAGAATAATGTTAGACCTAATTGGTTTTTTAAGGCAACTGATAAAAATAAAGGTAAAAAATTTTTACTGATATTAGTAAGTTATTTAAAGTTTAAACTTGATAAGTATAATTTCTTGTTTTAGATGTGAATTCTCCAACACCGTACTATAATGCTATAGTAATGCAAGATCTTACTGTAATTCAAACAACTTCTCAAATAAATAAATTAATCAAAGAGTATCCAAATATTAAAGATGGTATAATACTCTTAAAGATTTGGCTAAAACAAAGAGAGCTTTGTAATAATTTTGTATCTTTCAATGGTCATGTTATAACAATGTATGTTCTGTACTTGCTGATAGAGAAAAAGTTGAATATTTTCATGAGCAGTTACCAGATAGTTAGGAATACCTGGCTATATTTAGGTATTATAAATCAATAATTTTTCTGATGAACTATGTTGTCCTCTTAAAATTACTCATTGGTGTAATTGAATTATCCGTTGCAGCAAGTAGTGATTGGTGTAAAGATGGTATTAGCCTTTGTAAAGAAGAAGAAATTAAAGAACGTATCGAAGAATATCACAAACATTATGATTGCGTTTTTATTGATTTTACTGGATTTCATAATGTAGCAGCCAACATTTCTGCGGATACATTTAAATGGGTTGCAAATCAAGCAAAACAATCTCTCAACTGCTTGAATAATACACGATTCAATGGGTTTCAAATATTATTTATGCGCAAAGTACCTTTCTACAAGGCTTTTGATATGATGATTTGGTAAGTGATTTGATATTTGGTTTTTGATTTTTTATGGAATAGTATAATATTAGATATATTTTACAGTTTGCACAATGTGAAAGCTTTGGAGAATATTCTAGAAGCACATTCTACAGAGTCAGATAAACTCAATTACGGGACCAATAAATATGTTCAATCAGTAAAACTCATTTTGAAACTTTTGGAGAAAGGACTAACTAGCAGAGTTAGTATCATTAGCGTCTTACCTCATAAAGTTCGAGAATGGGGTATAAATGAAGAAATGCCAAACGATCTTGAGAGACTTTACATAGGAATACAATTAGACCCAACTCGTGCTTTTTATAATGTTGAAAAGGGACCAGTAGCCAATCTACCGGAAGTATGTGGATTTTCATAATAATTTTTCTTTTCTTATGAGTATTTAGTAAGAAAAAAATGTATTACAGGCCAAACAATTCAGGGCTTTTTGGGGAAACAAATGCGAGATTCGTAGATTTAAAGACGGCAATACCTGTGAAACTGTCTTATGGGCAAAGGAAAAGACAGCTCGTACACTTTTACGTGGAATCCCTCAAAAAATTATCAAGTTTTTACTAGAAGAGAAATTAAAGTTGTTTGAAAAGTCACATTACTTTATTTTCTCAAACCAAGTAGAGCAGTTTTTGAAGTTGAAAAAGGTAAAAATTGCACAAATCCATGTACTACTTTAAGATAATAAACAATTTTTGATTAAAATTTATCGTATCTAATTTGTAGGTAAAGATAACGAAGTTTTACTATAGCCCTGAAGAAGCTTCTCTCAAAGTAATCAACGTTTTTGATTCGCTTAAAAATGATTGTATAAATCTTACAAATCTTCCATTATCAATCAATGGAGTTCAAGGGTGTAGTTCATTATTCCGTTACTCTGAAGTCTTTCCACCTCTGGCAACTATTCGTAGATCAGATAAAAAGAACATCGTGGACGGTGAAATGCATTTATTATTCAACGAAAGCTCGACAGTCGAAGAAGTGCCATTGTACCTTGCTCCAGTGGAAGCAACAATTCAGTTATCTACAAGCGGAAAATGGCCAGATGATCTTGAAGCTCTGCGAATGACTAAATCCGCTTTTTATATTCAGATTGCCGATTCACTTAGGAAATATTACAAAGAAACAAAGAGTAAAATTTTGGTGCACGGTTCTATGAATCACATTGATATCATGAAGGTAAATTTTCTTATACTTTGATTTCAATAATCTTGAAAAGGTTATTTTATGGAATAATTATTTTATGTTTTATTAATTTATTAGGATGGCTTCGTTTTCCGACTAAAATTAGCTCTTCAAAAAGAAATTAGTTTAGTTAAACGAGTAAAGGACACAGATGGCGTGATAAAATACCGCGATAACGAAGAATCTTTAACTCTAGAACGGGATCTTTTCCATCTACCAAAACTTACAGGTGCACTGTATGGGTAAGAATCGAGAAATAAATCATAATTATAATATGTCATACGTATGAATCAATTAACCGATAAATTTCCGTTTGCAGATTGCACTGTCAGCATCAGTCGTTTGGACCAGCCTGTTGCTTGGTAAAACGTTGGCTCGCAGCCCAACTCATCGACAATTCCCACATGCCGGATATTGCCGTAGAGTTACTTCTCGCATCGATCTATCTCAATTCCGAACCATACATACCATCTAACATGCCACAAGTGGTCTTTCTTAGGTTCCTCGAAGCCTTTGCTAATGAACACTGGCACACCGATCCAATCATTGTTAATTTCAATGATGAAATGACACGTGAGTTTGAACTTCACTTTTTAACGTAATAGATCGCAATTCTTTTAGGAAAAACGAGCAAAAAATTAAAAACTGTTATAGGTGAAGAGATCGTAGAAATTGAAAATTTATTCGGAACATCGCGTGACACACTGCCAACCCTTTTTATATGCACTCCTTACGACAAGCAAGCGAGTATTTGGACTAAGAAAGCGCCGACTACACTTATTTTAAATCGAATTAGTGCGTTGGCAAAAGAATCTCTCAGATTGCTCGAAATACAATTTTTCAACGGAACTGGCGTACAATGGAAATCTATTTTCATTCCACCATTATCGGCATACGATTGTTTGATTCAGTTGAAGACCTCATTGAATTCACGAAGATATGAGGCCGTATGCGTTGATGAGACTCTGCCAGAACTCGATTTACATCCTTTCAAAATACACTACGAGACAAAGATACCCATTGTTGACTTCGATCCTGTTGCACAGTATTTGAAAGAATTAAGAGTAAGTTTTTAATTTGTTAACATGCGTAAATGAAAAAAAAATTCTTAATTATCTTGTTCCAGAGGGTTTACGAAGAATTTGCTCTTTTCTTCCATGATACTTATGGGGGAAACATCATTGGCGTTTTGTTGAAACCAGATGCTCTTCAGCCAAAAGATTTTAAAGTTTCTAACGTAAGTTGTCAAAAGTTCAACGACGACCAAAAGTTAGTTTTGAACGTATCGGCGATGATCGAAGATTTTTATATTCTTGGCAAAGGACTTGTTGAAGCTATTGAGATTCAGTCAAAAAAACTTCGTTCGATCTAAAATTGACTGAATATCCTCTGCACTATACAGTGAATAATTGAACTTGTTTGAATAAAATATTTTTATCTGTTAATTAACTATCGTGTAAATAAATCATTGATATTCATATGTTAAACCCTGAGTAATTAAATAGGTTCTTATGGGCCGATTGAAGAATTGCAGTTTTAATCTGGATGTAACACTTTTTTTTCAATAATATAGCTCTAGTAATCGTACTTATATAAATTAATTCAAGCAACAAATGTGCGTTTAGATAGATTACGGTTTTATGTAAAAAAATACGTAACAAGGACTGGTATCTATTAGAATTTTCTAAAATTTAAAAGAGGAAATCTTTTCGAGGTGATTGATACAACAATTTGGGTTATACAACGTAGCAAAGAAACTTCATAGAATATATTTTTCATTAATTATTTTCTAAAATCGGTGTAGATCAAACAGCTTTTCAATTCGCAAAATAACATCTGAATGTCAAGGATTTGATGATACTTATTGATGTTAGAGCCGATATTAATTTAGTACATTAACCAAGAAAGTATTGGCAAGTCCATAACAAGTATAAAAACTTGGGTGGTTAAATACGTGCTAAGGGCTTGCCATTTTCATTTCTGTGGTTAATATACTATTTTATGCCTAAGTTCGTAAAATGCGTATTGTGAAACCTGACACCCAGGTTTCAAGATGTATTTTACGCGTAATAGGCAAAAATATTACTAATGACAAAGACCGAACAACTTTAGTATGCACGACTGTTCGAAAAGCTGTAATCCGATACAAAAGAAACGCGGAGAAAAATACTTGTTCAGCTTGATTCCAGGTTTACAGTATACGTTGTCAAATATGTAAATGTATTATCAATGAAAGTTAGCGATGGCTATATTTTTTTTAATAACAATCATATGATGGAATTCGGAATATTTAGTTTAATTAGTTTGATTGAGCATGGAATGTAATTATTCTGTTGCATAAGATCTTTTAAAAAATTAGTAATTTATTTATTTAGTTTTGTGATTTGAAATTATATATATATATATAAAATAGGATGGACAAAGGAATCAAATTATAAATCAAAACAAAAACATTTAAAAGTTACCAGAAACTTTTTTGTAAGTAAATAATCATACACTGAAATAATTTAATACGTTGCGTTTCTCTGCGAGTTCATTAAACTACGATTATTCATTATTAATAATTTCAATAAAAAAGGAAATTCTCACCGAACACACAATAAGGCAAATAGAAAAATCGAAAAAAATAAAGTTATATAAAGGTAGGAGGGAATCTGAGATCCAATCTGTAAACAAAAATACGCAGAATGCTTCTTAGCGACTTTTCTTTTTACTCTTTAAGCATCTGCAACACAACGACGTTATTTACAAGGATACACAGAGCGACTTGGCGCCGCGTATGTGCCTCTGTTCTGTCAGTGTTACACATTGAACAATTCGACTTCTGCGTAAATTAATCGTTAAATAACATTTTGTCTTTTAAGAACGCAATAATTAAAAATTAACATCCAGAACCAATCACAGCTTACTACGTGTACGTATGTATAAAGATTAAGAAAAAAAAGAGGAGAGAGGTGTACATTTTCGAAAACGTATCATTATATTACTTTATATAGTTTTATATAGTCCATAAAATTTCATAAGTAAAAACAATGACTTATTTAATAACGGATATGAAACGTAGTTTTTGGGAAATGGATCTTTTGTTTTACCATCATCCTTTTGTGGTCCTGTAAAATTTGCTTTTTAGTTTCAGTCTCGCGTTATCTAGATGCATACCGCTCTCCGCTTTATAACATTCTTAGGCAATAATTACTCTAAAAAAATTTATGCATGAATGAAACTAATCGAATTTCGTATTTGTTTATGTACATAAATTAAGTAAATATAATCATAATGATATTGACAATTATAGTAATTACATTTTGATACATTCTTTCAGGCTATCGTAAAAATTAATTGTCCTAAAATTTCATGCAGCAATCACAAAATCTTCAAATGAAACTTAAATATGTACAAAATAAGTGAAACAACAATTTTTGCCTGCCTTTTTCAATAACATCCACGGATCATCTAATTTGTTAATTTTTTTTATACATTATCATTTTATTTAAATTGATTTTCGCTTATCATATCAGGGTGCATCGCAAATTCTTCTGATCGATTTGCTGTTGGTAGGATAATCCACAGCTATTTGGACTTGATTTATAAAGAGACATCTATAAAAGGCAATTTATTACAATGCATTAGCTCTAAATGTGTGTCATCATTATGTAGGTATTATATACGCTCGTGACATGTTTAGTTATCATTATTTATTATTTGTTTTTTCTTTTTATACAAACAACACTCTATCGCAAGTGTTTTTTATCAATTGTACTTGTAAAATTTTTGTGCAAAAATTTTCCTTTCCACAATCATTATTATCAAGGCAGTACGATAACTGTTTGCTGAAAGCTTTTTTTTAAAGCCAACTACAAATTGGTGTATAAAATCATACAACACATTTTTTTTCGTTCCCGAGTCATAAGCGTTAATAAAGCCTTCATAATGCACATAATCGAGTCGGCTTGTAAAGATCAATTTGAAAGTTCCATACAAGAAACTCTCGAATCAAACGTGTAATTACCAATTGTTTTTTTCCGTAGAAGGCAAAATTTGCATCATCCATTAGTCTATATATATATATATAATACGCAAAAGTTAACAGTACGATGTAGTCAATGGTATCAAAGTGTAGTTGAAAACAAAAAGAGGGTTTCCATAATTGAGCCCACATATATAATGCTATCACATTCTCGAACGCAAGTGTTTTTTAGAAACAAATTTGTGATCGCAGTAGTTTGTTTTCTCTCTCTCTCTCTCTCTCTCTCTCTCTCTCTCTCTCTCTCTCTCTCTCTCTCTCTCTCTCTCTCTCTCTCTCTCTCTCTCTCTCTCGCCAGTTGCTCTGTCAAAGTCGCACGTGCTTAACAAACTTCCATTTTTAAAAAAAGTAAGACGAATGGGGAAAAGATACCTTCCGTGATTTAAAAAAGCATCAGAAAATTCGTCGCATTCGCAATTTGATCTGTACCTTAATTACGAATCAAATCAACAAGTGTGTATTCAGCGGCGGGATTAATATGTCTAGACAAAAGGAAAATGCCTGCAATTCAATTCCTTTCGAATTAATGTATTTTCACCATCGAAGAGACAAAAGACAAAAATGATGAAATATTTCTCTCTCTCTCTATCTCTCTCTCTCTCTCTTTCTTTCTCTCTCTCTTTCTCTCTCTCACTCTCTCTTTCTCTCTCTTATTTTCTTAGCCCGCGCAAAGTGGGTCGCGTCGGTGGGGGCGTTTAAAATGCTTCTTGGCTCCACGTTTAACCGTACAATCTCTCAGGCACGCATATGCAGCACTCACGCACTTTATATCTCTTATGCTTTACATTTATATATAATATTTATACTTTCCTAAATTTTTTCCCGAGAGAGAAGAGCGCAAGATAATAGCGTATCGCGCGGAGAAGCATTTCTCGTCGCACGCATCAGATAATTAAGTTATTTTTCCGTCAACGTCTTGTATAGTGGGTGTGTTTGTGTGTGTTTGTTGTGGGTGTGCATGCGATACGCGACGTCGAGCCTCGCGCGCTGGTTTGTTCGCTTATACGACACAATATCGTAAGCATGGAACGGCAATAACCTTGTAAAAGAGGTGTACACACGTTCTCTATCTCTTACATGCTCGCTCGCGCGAGTTACAACAACGTTCATCGATCGATGACCATGAATAGGACGATGAATAATTGCAATAAGGTCCGGTTCGTAGTAGTAAATGTAAAAATAATAAAATAATGGATAAGAATACAATAGCAGTTAACCGTAAAATGTAGTAGTAGTAGTAATAGATAGTAGATAGTAATAGTAGTAAAAAAAACGAGAAGAATAGTTAATGGATAATAATAACGATGATGACAGTGAACATTTGATAATCAATGCATCTGTCGCGAGTGCAGGCAGATCGTCGACGTGGAGTACAACTGCGGCGATCAGTTGGACAGCGGCGGCGGCGTAGGTGTCGGCGTGAGAGTAACAGTCGTGTGAAGCACAGAGTCACGGGAAGCCGAGTGGCTGCTTGCACGCAATAAAGTCACAGCCTCGCGTTCCGTATCGCATCCACCACCTCGGATTATCAGTCCTCGTCCACTACGCCTTGGCTCAGCATAACCACCTCCGTCACCGCCATTCTCGCGTCCACCACCACCGCCGCTGATCGAATGGTGATACTGTTGATAGTGCTCGGGGACCACGCCAACATTCATATCCGCGCACTGTACCGCATTGGTGCCTACGGCCACACTCAGTCATTTTTGCCGACCAGCCTTCTTCTTCTTTCGCTTGAAGAAGCAGCAGCATCTGGAAAGGAAGCAAATACTAATGCGACTTAGGACGCGCTACTCTGGCTTACTTGACGCAGGCAGAATAATCATAAGTAATATGTAACAAGCGATGAGATGTTGATGACTAAGATGATGGATATCAATTTTTCGTTGTTGTTTCAAAGATGATCGATTCTTTTTTAAAAATTTAACTCTATACCTACTAAGAAATGACAGTGCGTTTCTGGACGAGAGTTTAAAGTTTTTCTCACTTTTCATGTGCAGTTAACTTTGGTCTACATTTTTTTTTAATTTTTATCGCGTAAGAAAAGCTCGATATCTCATTGTGTACAAGGCTTTGAATATTATGAATAATGCTGAAATGTGCAGGAATAACTTAACTACAAGTGTTGCAATATTCAGTAAATGATTTATTATAAAAGCTAAATGTTCTACATAACTCAATGCAGAAAAGTTCAAAGAAAATTTAAAAAATATATATATCGGAAACGGAAGATGGAAAGGATGGGTATGACGCACATTGTTGTCTTACATTCTCTTTAGTAAAAATGACGTAAATCGCACGCAATTATTCAATTTAATACTTCAAACGCTAAAACAGTAAACTTGCTAACTATTTTACAATAAAAAATTAAAATAAATTTGTTGCTTTTCATGATTAAAAATACTACAATCCATAAACAGGTTTGAAAGTTTTACAGGCTCGAAAAAAAAAATAATAAAAAACAGACAAATAAAATTAGATCGATGTAGAAGTATATGTTACCGGTTTAATGCCGGTAAAATAAAATAATTATCTTTTTTCAATTTCATAACAATATTTGTCAAAAGAAAATCTCTAATTGGCCACGGATAAGTTTTTAGTAATCTTGCGTGTGTTTCAACTACTATTCTCATTTGTTCTGGTGTCAATTCTTTGTTATCATTTGATACTACAATATCTCTTTTGAAAAGGCTATAAAAAGAAAAAATTCAAAAAAAAAAATAGATTACTGTTGTTGTCAAGAAAAAAATATTGAAATTTTCTCTAATTAACATTTTTATTATTAAGTTTTTATTTTACGATTTTGAAAGTTAAAAAAAATAAAATTTACAGCGAAGCAAAAAAACTTACGCATATAGTAAAAAACATTAAAAAGACAAAATGAAGTAGCTTAAAAAATATACTAACTTGGTTTCGTCTATCATTTCCACTTCTGGAGGTGCAGTTATTGGTGTGTTTGAGTGGCCAGCAGTTGGATCGTCATTTGCCAGTTCTCCGTTTGTTGAGGATACGACCTGTTGAGTAATAAATTCATTCAATACGATTCATTTATTCCACAAAAATAACACATTATACATTATTTTATTATAAACGTTATCTATTCTACGTAAATAACTGATGATTATAGTTAGGGATATACGTATTACAAAGCGGGACTACGTCAGTTTAGTTAGACTTGTGATTTTTATTCAATGTTGAAAACTCAATAGAAAATAAATAGTAGAAAGAAACAAACAAACAAACGATAAGAGCAAGCTAAATAAAAATAACATTACATGACTTATTTCACGTAGTTAATTTTTGCATCGAACAGCACTGAAAAAAAAATGGGAAAAAATAGCAAAACAAAACAGCTATTTAAAAAATTATTAAAAAATTAATATGCAATGGCAATCGTTACATGCTACAGCAAAAACCAAGAAAAGCATAATATCAAAATTATCTGTTCTTGCCTAAACGTAAAATGCATGTAGTACTAAGGTGAAAATCGTTGAACATCTGATACCAACCATTTGGTAGACTATGCACTAAGTAAAACTTCCAATATTTTACATTAATAATTTATACCATAAAATAAAGTATTCACTGATGATATTTTTTGCAGTGGACATACTTTCTAATCTCGATTGGTCGCGTAAACGAATCATTTATAATTTTTATCAAAGGTATACTAACTGATCAGTTAAATAAACGAACAAATATAATAACAAGAACCATTTGTAATGAAGTATGTTTTCCATTAGAAGCGAATTTTAATGAGTTTTTATTCAATGATATAGGAAAGGATATGTTAGGATTGAATAAAATTGAAACTGTCAGTCACCCTATGAAATTTTCCTCTGTCTTGATGCGATACTCATTGTGGAAAAGAAATTAAGTATTTGAAAAGTATTTACAAACATTATAAGTTGATTGTAAAAAAAAAACTGATTGTAAAAAAAAACATCGCAGATAAAAAAAAATCTTGAGATATTGAATATATGTATAGGAATCGTTACCAGAGGATAGTGTGTGTATGCGTGGACTCACCTGAACGGAGCCGTGTCTATCGGCGGGTGTCAAGGTGCCACCGGTGCCCGATTGCTTGACTTGGTCGGGCCACGTGGCACCTGCCCCCTTACCGCCCCCTCGTCCCACCCCGCCGCCAGCCGCGTCCTGCGGGAAACAACAAGCACGATGCAGCGTCGCAAAACCAATGCGAGTTAGTCAATGACCAAGTAAGAAAAGTCAAGAACTAATTTTTTTTGTTTCGTTGTATTTTCTTTTTTTCTTATTGGATGCTCGTCGTTTGTTGAATAGTCTTTCTAAGTCATAGAATAAAAATTCTAATGCTACGCATAGTCTAAAACACGTTTACGTATATACACCTAGTATGTATAAACTAGCGTTCCATACTTTATAGCCTACTATTTAAAAAAGAATAATAATCGTCTATCGTGTTTTATCAATGAGCTTACGTAATTGCCCCGCACCTCCGTGCAACAGATTTCATTCATCATGAGAATCGTGTCTTCTTCAAAATCATCGCATTCCTTTTCATCCCGCGAGTGCAATGACAAATGAACAGAAAAGCAATCTATATTCAGACAACTGGTTCCTTTTTTATCTTACAAAATATTATCATGGATGCCAGTAGTATGAAGACAAAACAAGAACTCTCGCAAACTCTTACCAATTAATTTCAGATTCTCATGCGGTTATATTTACAAACCAAGGTCAATTATGTAAAAAGATTATGTATATAGAGTTATAGATACAGACGTGCATGCTGCCTCAGAGCCGTGATTAGCCGTCAAAATTACCTTGTAATTCGTCGGGTGTCTGTCCCGATTTGGTGACACTACGATCTCCTGGCCTGTCTGCAACGATCCCACTGGTGTCGACTGTAAAAAATGCACAATACCATTGAATTAGTCAAATATACAGTTTTGAAAGTCTTACAGAATGCATTTTCAAAGTTACCAGTAGTAAGTTACGTAAAACAAAAATACAAAAAACGAGATAGGATTTACATCTAAGCAGATAACGTACTTGCGTGACTACAGTGCGTTAAACAAGTAGGTCTTATATATACATATATATCTCGAGCCTTCGAAGCTGTAAAAACTGTTGGTATGAAAGCACAAAGAGAATTTCTTGAACGAAAGAAAGGAGATTCACACCAACCTTGTCGGACTTTGTTTTCCCGATATTGATGGCAGTGCCTGTCTCAAGGCTCTGAGCTGTGCAAAGTTCGGTGGCTAGAGGACGTTTGGTCAGCATGCAAATTTCAAAAATAAGATCGGTAAGCTCAATCGACATTCCCCCCTTGTCATTCCACACGCAGCGATTTAGTTTTATATTTACTTGCCGTATTTTTGCTTAGCGCATCCCCGTACAAAATTCATGCGCATGCTCAGAGAGAGACATAATTGGGATAAAGAGTTTATTGACACAGAGAATTTTCATCACACAAAGACAGGTTATACACACGAGATGGAAGAAGAGTGAGAGAAGAAAAAAAGGGAGAGAACTGAGATAAAGAGAGGAAATGCTTTTTGGAGGAGCCATCATCACTTTGGACCCACCATGGTTTTGCCGGTCCAGTCGAATTCGCCATCGTGAAGGAAGCCTCTCCTGTCGTAAAGGTCCTGGAAGAGCTTTCTCAGGTACTCGTAATCGGGCGTGTCGAAGAAGTCAAGGCGACGCACGTAGCGCAAATACGTTGCCATCTCTTCGGGATGACCTTCGCACAACGACTCGATTGGCGTGGCGCGCTTCGTGTCGCCAATTTTTTGGTAGCGCTCCTTTAGAGTATCCGCTTTCAATCCTTGCCATGGTAGACTACCACGCAAGAAATACATGAACATGTGGCCCAACGCTTCCAGATCGTCTCGTCGGCTTTGTTCTGCAAAACAAAGATTTTTTTTTATCATCAAACGTTTTTGTGAAATACTTCTCTCAAGATGACGTCAGTTTACGGATAATTCATGATTTCGAGCTACATTTTTGGCACGTGATGTTCACATTTTTTCAAATGTTTAAAAAGTTTTGTTATTCTTTTTAACGGATGTGGCTTAAAAGTGGAATTGGTAACATAATTGTTCCAATAATGATAAAATGAATGAGCCAAATCAAGCTTCTTTTAAATTTCTACCTGTTGGTAGAAAGTTCATGAAGGATTTCGTAAGCGGATCAAGATAAAATAAAAATGTTAAAGAAAGTATCTAAAGGAATTTCTCGCGTGGGATTCATTTATTGCGTTTTTCCCTCTACGCTTAAAAGTTATCACGCTTTAATAGCATGTTTCAACAAAACATTTATTTAAAAAATCTCAAAATATCAGTCAGGAATATAAATTAAATTTTATTAAGAATATAAGCATTGAGTAATCAGCTACTATTCGGCGTCGATTGGCCTAGATTTTATCCTCGAAAAGATCATTGATATATATAAATTAATATCAGAGACAGTGAATGATTTTTGATATAATACAAATAACATTTGAAGAATTCTAACTATATCGAGGTTGCTTTTCTGTAAAAAGCTATATTTTCAGCATATTACTTAGGAAAAGCGACACAAATGTTTTTTGGCACGCAAGTCGAAACTATTATTACGCTTTCTTGACTATCCACTGCCAGCGGCTTCTTTGTATTGAGAGCAGTATGAGAGCAACCCTCCAACACGTATGGCAGTAATGATCCTCTTGATACAAAAAAGAGTCTTGTTTTTAAAACAAAATTATTGAAAAAAAAAGACTTGCTCGAGGAGAAGATTCCTTCTCTCAAAATAATAAAAAGCAAGCTATGTTATCTCACCTTTTCCCTGATGTGTATTGATGCT